AACACTGAAAATGATCTAGAACCAGCTGATAGATCTGACGTAGGTAGGCAACAAATAAACAAACAAGCCTTTCCAGTAGCTATTCATTCAAAGGAAGAGTACTGAATAGAGATAGGGAGTGGGTAGGGGGACACAACGGTGTGTAGGAAGCAACACTTAGAGCTTGTGAAGAAAACACAAAGAAATAGTTCATCACTTACACCCTACGGCAAGATTATAAGAAACATGGTCATAAGCTCAAAGATATGGAGGAAGGATGAACAGTAAAACTTTGACTTCTTTCTTTTTATTCTCTATAGGATATGGAGATCATTTGGGTTAGACTGTCCGTTTACTAAATTTTTAGTGCCCAGATACAAAATTATCAGATTTCTGCTATCATGAGTAGCAATATCAATAAGGCAAGATAATGAGATTAAGTCAACTGGAGGCTTTCTGTCACTAATTCACTTTTTGGTGCACACGAGACGTGTTTGTTAAAACAGAGTGTTAGATTTTCATACAAATCCTCTTTGGAAAGCATTCATCATATCTCTTGTATCTCCCATTGCTTATTTGCATGAGATGAATATTTAGAAACTTAACTCACGGAACCGAGTAGTGCTTAACTCACGGAACCGAGTCCTCACACCCACATCCAAAAACCGCTGCCATGTAACCTCATTTGGTGGCACAGCTTTGCAGACTCATGATTAAATCTCGGAAGAAGGGCCAGGGCGAGCGTGCAGTCTCTCAGGAATTTGCATTGCATGAGGCCAGCCTGGGTTCAATCCCTGGCATCCCATCTGGTCTCCCATGCAGAATCAGGAGTAATTCCTGAGAATCTCTGCGTCTGACCCCAAAGGGGAAAACAAAAATTTTCAGAAGGGATTAACTAGCTGTAAAAATTCATATATATACACAGGTCTTTTGGTTGAAAGAAGCACCAGAAGGGGCAATCTCAGGAGGGGGAGGGGAATAGGCTGAGTCCCACCCAGATAAGCACAGGCAGTCACACTCCCCGCCCACCCCCCTTCCCTCCCCCCCCCACACAGCTGCCACCAGGCCAAAGGCCTGACTCCACCAACTCACAACTGAGCTCTGAAGAGATAACAAACTGCTAAAAACTTCAGGTATACTGGTCACAGGGCTGAGAACTCTGGGGTTTTCTCCGAGTGTTACTGGGCAGTGTCCCCCACCTCCAATTCTCCCCCCCCCATACTTCTGGAAACCCTGACAATCACACATACACATCCCACAACCACTGCTATGTAAGTTCAATGCCTAGTTATATGTCTCCGGTTTTTATGGGGTGTGGGGCGGGGTGGGGTGGGGTGGGAGAACACCCACCCCTGCTCAGGGCTCATTCCTTTTTTCCAGGCTCTGTGCTTAGGAATCACTCTTGGCAATGCTTGGGGACCATATGGAATAACAAGAATCAAACCTGGGTTGGCCACATGCAAGAAAGTACCTTATCATCTGGACTGCCCTTCCTGCCCCTAGTTAAATATTCTGGAGTTCCTGGAGTCACACCTCCAAACTCTACAAATTCTGACATCCCAGTAGGAGCACATAAAATTTGATGGGGCAGTAACATAGAAGCCGGTTCAGCTCAGTAAAGAATGTTTCATACACAGAAGCTCAACTAGCAACAACAGCTTAGTAAACCCTCAGACAAGTACTTTATGTCCCATGGTGAAATATAAAAATTTTCACAAATTTTCTTTTATGGAGGTATTTTTTTAATTAAAAAATTTTTTTAATAGACATCATGATGTACAGTTGCAGACTTACACATTTGTGGGCTTGGGTTCCAATTATACAATGATCAAATACCATCCCTCCACCAGTGCCCACTTCCCACCACCATACATCCCAGTGTCCCCCCCCCCCCCATCCCCCCCCATCCCCCCCTGGCTCTGTGGCAGGGCATTCCCCTCTGTTCTCTCTCTCCTTTTGGGTGTTGTGGTTTGCAAAAGAAACATTGAGTGGCAGTCATGTTTGGTCTATAGTCTACTCTCAGCATGCTTCTCCCATTCTGGGAGGGTCCTCCCAACACCTTTATTTGGTGTTCCCCTCTTTATCTGAGCTCCCTTTTCCCTAGTATGTGTGGCTGGCCTCCAAGTCATGGAGTAGAATTCCTGGTACTAATCTCGGCCATTCTTGGGTGTTAGTCTCCTATTTGGTTACTTTATGTTCCCCAGATGAATGCAATCTTTCTATGTCTATCCCTTTCTTTCTGAGTCATTTCGCTTAACATGATACTTTCCATGTAGTACCAGTTGTATGTAAATTTCGTGACTTCATCTTTTCTAACAGCTACATAGTACTTCATTGTGTAAATGTACCAAAGTTTCTTTAACCAGTCATCTGTTCTCGGGCACTCAGGTTTATTCCAGATTCTGGCTATTGTAAAGAGTGCTGCAATAAACAGGCAATTGCAGATGTCACTTCGACTACATTTTTTTGCCTCTCTGGGATATATTCCCAGGAGTGGTATTGCTGGATCAAATGGGAGTTCAATTTCTAATTTTTTGAGAATCAACCATACTGTTTTCCAAAAGGGCTGAACCAGTCGGCATTCCCACCAACAGTGAAGGAGTGTCCCTTTCTCGCCACATCCACGCCAGCATCGGTTGCTTTTGTTCTTTTGAATGTGGGCCAGTCTCTGAGGTGTGAGATGGTATCTCATTGTGGTTTTGATCTGCATCTCCCTGATGATTAATGACGTGGAACATTTTCTCATGTGCCTTTTAGCCATTCGGATTTCTTCTTTGTGAAAGTTTCTATTCATCTCCCCATTTTTTGATGGGATTGAATGTTTTCTTTTTGTGGAGTTGAACCAGAAATCAAGCTCTCACTATTCGCAGACGATATGATACTATACCAAGAGAATCCTAAAACCTCTACCAAGAAACTTCTAGAAACAATAGGCTCAGGGGATCATATGGGATGCTGGGAACCAAACCCGGGTTGGCCACGTGAAAGGCAAACATCCTACCTACTATGCTATTGCTCCAGCCCCAATGCATTTCTTATTTTATTTAAAACACTATCATATGTTAAATTTTTATACTACATGTCTGATTTCAATATTCTTATCTTTTATAATCAAAAGTGTTAGCTTTGGCACTTAGTTGACAGGGGGCATGGCTCTCCACAAGAACTTGGAAGATAAGGATTCTACCAAGGAAGATTGCCATCTGAATCACCGGGACCACACGTAGTTTAATTTTATTTTCTGTAATTAGCTCTTAAATTGTTCAGAGTATACAAAATCCAACCTTAAGCAAATACATAGTGCATATTTTTAATTGCCTGTTATCTGCTAGAAGATACTATGAATCTTTCAAAACTAGGTCATTTTGTTTTTACAGTGCTGGGGACCGATCCTGGGTCTGGCGCATGCAAGGATGTACTTTACCACTGAGTCACAGCCTTCTCAAGGCTACATATTTTTCAAAGCTACAAGAAGGCAGTTTGAAAAGCTACAAGAGGGTTATTACATGTCCGATTTAAGCATGGTGAAGAATTATTTCTTACCAACAATGGCATGTAAGACAGCAAAGTTTACTTCAATAACCTGTTAAACAGACCCTCTGGATAAATAGCCAATGTGTCTGCAATTCCTCCCTCCCAGCATGAACTATTATAAAACCTCATGGTTAATAAGCAGTAATTTGGTGCTCTACTAGTCATTTTTAAAACATGAAATGCACAAATGAAAATAAAACACTCACTCTTCAGTCTCTGACAACAAAAAGGTAGTTTTTGAAGAAGGGAAAAGGGAAGGAGGAATGCAACTAAAACAGGGGGTCAATTTTATTTATTTTTGGGTCATACCCAGCTGTACTTAGGGCTTACTCCTCACTCTGTGCCCAGGGGTCATGCCTGGAGTCAGGTATTGAACCAGGAACATGCAAGGAAAGAACCTGAACTGCTGTACTATTTCTCCCACCCAGGTGGTCAATTTTATAGAGATAAGTGGTGGGGAACTTGGGAGAGTGAATGTGGTATGGAAGATGGAACAATAAAGTGGTCAAAAACTTTTAAGATGCTTCCTTTACATGTTGCACTTTCTGTTTCCTTTCTTGAAGATTCAGTGTACCCAGGAAGGTGTTTTACATTTACAGAATACTGGAATGATCCAAGGGACTCAAGTGCATTTCATGGGGATTATTGAGTAGGGGGAGTTTGCTTAAAGCAAGATTTCCAAGGGGCTGGGGAATGATTTATTTCTCTAAAGTGGAGGACAGACCAAATACATTTGAGAAGTTCTGCTCTAAAATCTCAAATGTTCTCCTCCGAACATTATTTTCTAAGAAAGTACTTAATTTTAGCCTTTGTAGGCTTCCCCATGATGTCTGATCTCCAACATTGCAAGGGAGTGTTTAGAAAAAAAAAATATTTTTAAAGTCATAAATGTACCCAGGTGTCTTATTAACGATTTTCTGAAGTAAATACATGGCTTGATGACAGTAGAATAAAAATATTTAACATTTATTCAGTGATCCAACACCCAAAACTACAATTTTTTATTTGTAAAGTTACCTGGTATCTTTTTAATTTTTTCAATAGGATCACACCCAACTGTACCTTGGGGCGGTCCAGAGAAACTCCTGGAAAAGCTATGTATGGGGTTAAGGTCTATATCAACCAGGACTACCCGCCCCTTGCACTGCTTAAGAGGCCATTTGGTGGGTGCTACGAATTGAACCATGAGCAATGACTTGAGCTTATTTCCCTGGTCTGTGGCCAATTTTAATTAAGCCACACAAAGTGCAGTGAATTATGCAAAAAAGTAAAACAACCTGGGGATTTCTCAAATTCCATATGTTACTATGTTTGGCATATCGAATACGTCACAGGGAGCTTGCCAGGCTCTGCCGTGCGGGCGAGATACTCTCGGTAGCTTGCCGGGCTCTCCGAGAGGGACGGAGGAATCGAACTTGGGTCGGTCATGTTGGCTGTGTGCAAGGCAAACGCCCTACCGCTGTGCTACCGGACAGAAAACGCAAGTCATCAGCTAAAGGACAATGATGCAAATACAGACGTTGTAGGTACTAGATACACTTTATACATACACTAAGTCACAGTATTACAATTACTCTGCATTAACTAATCATGAGCTCTATTCAACCAACTTAACTCATTAGATTGTGGCTGTAAACCATAACAATTTATTGTTTCAGACAAATAACTGAAGTAATATAGACAAAAAGGCTTGGTAACATTTTTGTTGCTATAAAAAGTTTTCAGGACTCTGACAGATGCTAATAGACCTACTATAAGAGCTAATTTTAAAGTGCATATTAGAAGATAATAAACCAGAAATCTTGGTCTCTGTTCTGTTATCACAGATGAAGAGTTTTACAAATCCACAAATATTACATTAATATGGAACTATATTTAAGAAATTCTTTTAAGATGTGTCCAGTCTTTTGTAGGCTTCTTCGATGAAAGTGAACATGTTCATGATCTTGGGTGAATTATGGAGAATATTCAAGTCCTTTAGGAGAGCATTCTGGTTTGGAATTAATGCCAACATTTCTTTCTGTGGGTACAACAGTACAATTAGATTTAGCATTTCCAAATAAATAGTTGTCAAATACAAGTTACTCAGAATGGTATAATAAGCCTCATGTACATCATTCTGTATCTAATGCTCATTACTTTTCACTCTAGGCAGGTTCCCCCGCCTCCTTCTGCTAAGGAGCGGGGAAAGGGTGAGGGCTTGGGGGAACTGGGCCACACCAAATGGGACTGGCGTATTATCTTAGAGGGAACATGGGATGTCAGGGACTGATCTAGAGTTAACTGCAATGCAAGGCAAGATCCCTGTGCTATTTCTCCAGATCCCCAAGTGGATTATTGATAAGAAAGATGTGAACTGGGCAGGAGAGATGGTAAGCAGGTGTGGCCTTATACACGCCTGACCCTGGTTCAATTCCCAGCCCTGTATATGGTTCCCAAGGAGTCCCTAGGAGTTCCCCAAGGAGTTCCAGTGCTATAGGAGGTCCCACCAGGAGTGATCCCTGAGCATAGAGCCAAAAGGAAAACCCTGAGACCCACCGGACAGGGGCTGACCAAAAACACCAGAACAAACAAAACATTCAAATTACTTTTTGAGAAAACGGAAGACTTTCTGCCATCAGAAGTATATTTATACAATGATATCTACAGGCCCTTCTTGAAGATAAATTACCAGTTTATATTCTGCTATAAAGAAGACACAGTACCTGAAATAATATGCCATTACTAGAAATAAAAACAACTATAAAAATTTATCTCCAGAAATCTATCCTACAGATATAACAAATATGTAAAGAAGCAGGTACCGAGTGACTCCAGCATGACCTAAAATAGTACATATTATCTCAATTAGTAATTCCAACCTGGTAAATCCACAGGATGAAATACAGTTACTGATAACAATGTCACATTTGCATGAACTGACTAGTCATTCAAACTTGGGGCTGGAGAGAGAGTAAAGAGACGGTGCTTTGCCTTCCAAGCAGGTGACCCTGGTTCAATCCCTGGCAGTGTATGATCCCTGAGCACAAAGCCAGGAGAACACCATTTCTGCTGCTGCTTGAGCCCAAATTAAAAAATCAAAGGAGGGAATAAACTTTCAAACTTGATACTAAATGAGAAAAAATTTTCCCCTAATAGTTTACATCACAAATTCCATTTAAAAACCTACTTATTTGTTGGGACCTCCCAAGCAAAAGCTAGGAGGCCTGTGGGCCACTCCCAGCAACACTGAGATAATCAGGCCCAGGTTATGACTCAGCAGCGGCCCTGGCTGCAGCAGACTGAAGCCTCCTGAGTCACCCCTGGCAGCTGAACCAGCATGCAGAGTATGCAGAGCAAGAGACCACAACTCTTTCCGTTTCCTTGGCTCTCCATTTGCTGATTACAAAAGAAATGACATGGTCTGAGGGAGGGGTGGGCTCAAAGGGCTGCAGAAAACGCTTTGTTTTCACGAACACCAGTACTCTGAAGAACGTGAGGCGTGAGGTAGAGTCACCCCCCTCAAGTAGATTTTTAAATAAATGCGATTCATAACTGGTGTACAAGCAACAAGGGAAATTTAAATATTTACCTGAAGTATGGGTGCTTTGAGACTTCTCTGAGAAAGTTCTGGAAGAGCGAGGTCCCCACTACTACCTATCTGATGCAGCTAAAATGAGAAAAAGTGAGAATTTCAAAGGCTTATTACAAGGAAGTTTCCCCGGGGGGGGGGGGGGGCAGAGAGAAAAGTGGTAGAGCACGTGGTTAGCGTGTTAAAGGTCTAGAGTTCAATCCCTGGCCCTGACTACACACACCCTCAGCACCACCAGACTGAGCTCTGTCCAGGTGCCACACCACTGCCATGAGTTTGTCATTCAAAAGCACTGAGTTGCTACAATTGCAAGAGTGCAAACTATACAAGATTCTAGCTATGTATCTTTTTAAACAATTACCTCTTTAATTTTCTTCTCCTCCTCTTCTACCTCCCTTGTCAGAATCTGAATTTTGTCCTGTAGACTCTGAATCTCTCCAGTCATTGATTCTGCTGTTTCCACAATTTTATCTATTTCTCCCTGAGGCAGAAAGAATTTTTAACTTAATGATTTAGTTAAAAACTCACATTAAACAAAACCCAAATATGTTGCAAACATATAATAGATATACACATAACTTTTTCTCATATATTGAAAAATCTCCAAAGTTGCTGGTATTAGAGACCCTGAAATATCCAAGTGAATGGATTTGGAACCTATGAACTGAGGGTAGAATGCACAATAGGAAAATATGTAAGAGTAGAAAAATCGCAAATATATCTTAGTAGCATTTGAGTGTTTTCATTTGGCCAAAGCAATGCAGATCACTATGTTAGGGACACTAATAGAAAATGAATCATAGTTTTCCACATAAAAAGAGTATGTAATAATGGGTAATTTTCCACATAAAAAGAGTATTTAATTTATGGCAGATGAAAAAGAGAAATCAATGAAGTGAGTATGGGGAAATCAGGGATGTGCTGATCGAAGACATCTCTGGTAATCAGTGGATAAAGGCTTCTAGTGATTAAAAAAAAAAGGTATCCAAGAGCTCTGTAATTTACCATGCACTGCTTCTTAATTGTCCAAGAGCTATGAATAATTTATATATCTTTAGAGATTAAAAAAGTTACCAGGCAACTAATAGCTCTTGGCACAGGACTTATGAAACATTTATAGTAGACTAAGTAATAGGAATATTTTAATTTATTTTCATCCTGTTTTTTGGCATTGTGCTTCAGAAAACCCCTGAGAGTTTCTGAGCGATTAGGGCGAAAGGAGCAATTGCTGCCCTCAGTAACATCTTTCAACATATAGTTTATGCTAATGACTCAGAGGATGAAGTCTGGTTGACAGAGCAACCATGTACACAGAGGTTTATCACTTTTAGCCCCATTATTTAATCCAAGAAGTCCCAGGAATAGGGTTACAGATTCAACAGTTTCTGCCTACCCGATGATGCGGCCATAAAATCTCTAAACAAGTTTGGAGACTTTCCAATTTGGTGAACATACTGAAGTGCTGGGAGAGTGGTGGGCTTAAAGAAGGAAACTACACCTCATCCCAGCTACCTTCCCCTTGGCAGCTCTTTGGTTGTTCCTTAGTTATACCCTTTATAATGGTAACCAAAATTTAAGCAAGTCCATTTGAAGATCTAATTGCTATATTAAATGATTCCTGAACCAGGCATCACCTTATTTAGTAAAACAGAGAAATACTCTGAGAGGTTATACAAGATGGAAAGAAAGGAAGGTGGGGTAAATAAGGAATTAGCAAAAGGAAAATGGAAGTTCATTTGAAGAAAGTAAAATTTCAAATGATTATGGCCTCTCATTGTCTGAGCTGCACCCTTGGGCTTGGCTTGTAGTTGGAAAGGAAGGAAATGTACCTGTTGCTTTATAACTGAAATTTAACTGATGAATGGTAGAGAATGAGAGCTCCCTCTACAGGCCTTCCTCTACAGACTTCCAATTTTAATTGAAGTATCCTTGATTAATATTCACAATAAACTGGTAATAATTAAAGTGCCTTCCTGACTTCCGTGAGCTGATTTCTCAAAATACCAAGTGAGAGATGGGAACCTCTAATTCTGATTTTCCTAGTTAGAAATACATCGAATGTAAGACAAAATAAGACTAAAAACATTATTTGAGATTTTTATAATTATAAAATATATACAAAATGTTCAGTTGATGTGCTAACTAGATAGGGAAAACATGTATACCTTCAATAGCTTATAATCAATTACACCTCGATCAAGTGAAATTTAAAAAATACTAATGTCATCTAAAATTATTTATAATGCGGCGGAGCTAGTGACAACACCGAAATATATACCCCTGACAAAGTACTACATTGGGATAGAGCGATAGCACAGCGGTAGGGCGTTTGCCTTGCACGCAGCCAACATGGCCGACCCGAGTTCGATTCCTCCACCCCTCTTGGAGAGCCCGGCAAGCTCCTGAAGAGTATCTCGCCCGCACGGCAGAGCCTGGCAAGCTCCCCGTGACGTATTCGATATGCCAAACACAGTAACAACAAAGTCTCCAATGGAGACGTTACTGGGCCCGCTCGAGCAAATCGATGAACAACGGGAGGGCCTTTACTTTACTTACAACATTGAGATAAAAGTGGAGATAGAAATATCATACTTGGATTGGAGAAAGAAGCACACACAGGCTGAGGTGTTAGCCGTGAATGTGAACCCCGGGCGCAGAGCCCGTGAGCAGCACTGGATGTGGCCTAAGCCCCTCTCCTCCCAGATACCACCTAGTGTTTATGTGGACATGCTGTTCAGTAGCTAATTCTTTCAATATTATTCTCCATCATATGAAGAAATGAATGACTTATGAATGTTAAGTTACCTTGAAGATGTATTTTTGCATAAAGCTCCACCTTGGATTTACTAAATCACCAACCAAAAGCCTAAATAACTACAAATAAACTAAACTCTGAAATGATAAGGAATGAGACCAACTGTTTACATTTTTGGAATTAACACCTTACCATTTCTTTTTAAAAAAATTTTTGCTGTTGTTGCTGCCATGATTGTGGGGAAGGGCACTTTTTGGATGTGAAGGCCTATTAGACTTATACCGTAATTTTAAGCAGCAGCTAAGGTTCGATTAGAGACATCTTTCACACTTGTAAAATGGGGACAACACACACAAAACTGTTTTTACTTGGTGTAACGAAAAAGATATGCAACTGTGACATTCAGGGGCCACCAGGGTCATGCCTAGAAGCAACAGGGGACCATGCAGCACCCAGTGGTGGACTGAACCTTGGGCATCCCATGTACCAGACATGTGCTCTGCCACATGAGTTACATTCCTGGCCCTATACTGTTGGAATCCCTGAGTTCAGGCAGTTTTTGCTGACAACAACACATCTGATCCAAGATCAAATACATCCAGGATAATATCATGATAATCCAAAAGCGTTACTGTCTTTTCCCTTTCCCCAAATGTATGAGACTCATATTCAATTTTCATACCTGCAACAATTCCAGGCTTTCTTCATTTCTTCTGTGCTGTGCTCCCTCCATTTTCAGGACACCTGCTATATTAGTCAAATCTTTCAGTTTTTTGGGAGGAACATTCAAGGATTCACACTTCTGCAACAATCTTAGGAACAGAATAAAAATCAATTATTTGTTTCTACTTGAGTACCACCAACATTCTGTTCTGCTTTGAAAGACAATTGTCATCTCTTTTCCTTTCATCTAATTCCCTGGGAATTGATTAATCTGAGTAATAAGTATCCCCCCCAAAAAGTCCTGATAAATCATCTCCACGAACTCTTACAACACTGCATACCACTATTTCTATTTTGTTTCCATGATTTAAGATTAACAAAGCAAGCAAAATTTGTGCTCAGACTTCCCCAAAAGAAAGGACTGGGTCAAAAAAATCCCTAGGCAAACATAAAACTGAGATGGATAACATTCTTTTAGGAAAAGAAAAATACAAATACTATGGAAAAATTTATCATTGAAAATCATCATCAGTAGGTGTGCCTTTTAAGCCTGGAGAAGAAACTTCCATTTTACAACTTGCTGCAAATCTTGGAAAACTACCTGATGTTTATGCAAATAATGCAATACAATATAAAATGAAGGGAAACATTGCAATAGAACAAATATTAGGTAAGAATGATAAACTGCTAATCTTTAAATTGCTCAAAATGAGACTAAAGAAGTTAAAATTGACAAAATATCTTTTCAAATCTTAGAATAGAACTACAAAAATAAATACATATTTTGTGATGTTATTTCTTCACAAATTTTCTAAACTTATTTTAGAATTATATAGCAAAATTATATAGCAAATAGTAAGCTTAGGGTAGTTTCTAGACATATTGTCAAACAGTAACAACAAAGACCCAAAATGTCAAATGAAAAGCTTTTACAAATGTATGTTCTTGCAACATAGGAATGAACAGATTTTACAAATCATGTTTTTTTTTTTTTTTGGTCAAACCCTCGATGCTCAGGTGTTTGTTATTCCTAGCTCTGCACTCAGGAATTGCTCCTAGTTGTGCTCAGGGGGAACACCTGGGATGCTGAGGCTTGAACCCAGGTTGGCTGCGTGCAAGGCAAATGCCCTACCCACATACCTGTACTAGTACTCTGGACCCCAAATTATGTTTTTACTTATTTCAATTGCATAACCTTATTACCTTTTCTTCAGGCAATTAAGATGATACTGAGTTTGTTCTTTTCCTTTGACCGTTGTACTCAAAATTGTTCTACACACGAAAAAAAATAAATAAAAGGACTGAGGATGAATTTGAAACACAAACGATGTCAGCTTTTCTAAGGTTTCTTAATGACCAACCAGGTAGAATCAATCACCTTCCCTTTTATGTTTAACAAAATATTTCAATTAGAGGCATATTGAAAGTTCTTTTTTTCTTTCTGTCATTAGCATTGTTGTTACTTAATTTACATGCCAGAATTCTTCTATATTTTGTTTGTGGAAACCTCCCCACACTCTATTATGGAAGTTTTATTTAGATTCAATTTCTTCTGAACATATCCCTGTTGATAAACTAAAATTTTAAGATAGAAGATGAGGCCACAAGAGTCAATAATTTCTGTTTCATGATAGAATTCCAAACTTCTGAAAATAAGTTTTTAATTTTTGAAATTTTTTTTTTTGCTGAAGATGAATAGCAATAAAAGACTTAAAATGTCTTCTTCTGAAATAGAAGACATCCAATCCCCCATAGGGCAGATAACATTTAAAAGGATGTTTATAGGAAACATACAAAGGGGAAATTAAAAGGTGATAAGTAAGTTTCATACTCACATTATTACTGATTCCATTAAAGTTTGCAAATGCTCTCTACTATTCTGTGAAAGAGGTCGCCAGGTTTTTCTCCTGTTGTATATCTTTACCTGCTTCAGATTAGTATGGCTTTTTTGTCCAGTCTCTAGCAAGGGATGAAATTGGTCAATCCAGAAACTAAACTTCACTTAAAACGTGAAGATAAACATATCAAAATGCTAAAGAATTTGTGAGAAACAATATTACAAAGTTGTATAAACTCTCTAATTTCCTCTTTTGTTACAGTCATAACATCGTAAGTACTGACTTTGAATATCCTAATATCAACTGTAGCACCAGTAATTAATATTGTAGATACAAACTCAAGACAACTTCTTGGTTTTGGGCCACACCTGATGGTGCTCAGGGGTTGCTCCGGCTCTGCACTTGGGAATCATTTCTGGTGGGTCCAAGGAACCATATGGGATGCTAGGGATCTGACCTGGGTCGACAGTGTGCAAGGTTAAAGCTATCTGTTGCACTATCTCTCTGGCCCCTCAACATTACTTAAAAAAAAAAAAATTAGTATTAAAAAATAAATCTGACCAACTGGGAGTAAGTGAGGGATTAGGAGTGAACAAAGTCTAAGGGGGAAATCAATTAATAAAAGAATAAAAGATGGCAATATGATATATTTTACCAGGAGCTAATACTGAATTCACTGTAAGAAATGCATCTTTTCCACTCCATTAGGCTGAATATTGGAAGGTTTCCATTGAAGGTAGGAATTATCAATTACCGATCAGTTAGTTGCATAATCAAATATAGTTATGAGAGTGTGTATGTGCAGAACTTAATTAAATGGTCAAGGGAATATTGAAATAGCAGGGAGGAGGAGATTAGGAGCATGGGCTTTAGAAGCAAATTGCTCTGTCATTAGTTTGCCCATGGGTGTGATTTCAATTGTTTGTAGGTTGCAAACAAAAAGCATGAATGCATAAGTTAAGCAAAATAGATGGCATCAGGTAGGCACAAGGTAAATAAACTTGTTACCATAGTCAACCCTTGTACTTTTTTATCTGTTTGTTGTGGCCTCCCAAGTGGCGCTAAGGAGGCCACTTCTGGACTCCAGGGCTGCACCTTGCAACAGGGATGAGGGGCTGGGGGATCTATGTGGTGGTGGAGATGATCACATGCCGGACTTGTGCCTCAACTCATATCCCATGTCTCTGGCTGCACCTTCATTTGTCTTTAAACTGAAGTTTGTAGTTTTGACAGCTTTCTCCAAATCTCCCCTTTTCCCACTCGTTCTTCGAATAGCCTCCAAAACCTTTTTGTGTGAATGTGGCCTTTTCTTCCCCTTTCTTAAAATAAAGATTCGGTATATAAAAGAAATCATGAAGTGATCTTTCTCTGGCTTACTTCACTTACAGAATGATCTCACAGTTCATCCATGTTTTCACAAATAATAGAATTCCCCCCCCCCTTTTTTTTTTGGTTTAGATTTTTGGCCACACCCAACGGTGCTCAGGGCAGGGCTTGTGGACCATATGGGATGCTGGGGACTAAACCCAGGTTGGTCATATGCAAAGCAAGGACTCTACCCACTCTACTACCACTCCAGTCCAGATTTCCTCTTTTCTTAAGACTGTAGAATTACACACACCACAGCTTTGTGCATTCATTTACAGATGAACTTATTTCCATGTTTTGGCTACTACAAATAATTGCTATAAACATGGAAATGCAGGCACATTTCTGAATGAAAGTGTTTTCATTTCCTTTAGATATATTATCAAAAGTGGAGATGCTGGATCAGTTAACAGACATATTAAAAAAAATATAGTAGCCTCCAGACTGTTTTCTTTAACTATTGTACTGATTTACAATACCACCAACAGTGCATATGTGTTTCCTTTTCTTAATTACTCATCAATATATTATCTCTTTGCTTGGGGTTACTTCAGGCTATGTACTCAGGAATTACTCCTAGTGGTACTTGGGGACCATACGGGATGCCAAGGATCAAACGCCAGTCAGCCGCATGCAAGGCAAACGGGCATCCTGCTGTAATATTGCTCCAGCCCCAAGACTATTGATTTTAAATGAAGAATCATGCCATCATTATCAAGACTCAACAAAAAGTTTGGTTCACAGGAGTAAACTAAAGAGCTTGACTAATCAATTTATATACAAAATTATAGCAAATACTGGATGTTTGCACATCAGGACCGCTACAGAGATCCATCAGAGTTTCCTCTGCCTTCGCCCTGCCCAGGTATATTTCACCATCTTTCGGATCCTAATAGCACAGCTGGTAGGGCGTTTGCCTTGCAGCCCGGGTTCGATTCCTCCATCCCTCTCAGAGGGCCCAGCAAGCTACAGAGAATATCCCGCCCGCATGGTAGAGCCTGGCAAGCTCCCTGTGGTGTATTCAATATGCCAAAAATTATAACACAAGGCTCACAATGGACACGTTACTGGTGCCCGCTCGAGCAAATCGATGAACAATGGGAGGACAGTGTTACAGTGCTACTGGATGTTATTTGAAATGCCAACAGATTAGTCAAACTACCAATAGACATTCATTGCCTATTAGATGAATGTTCTTATTCTATTTACAAGTAATAAAAGGGATAGACTATTGGCTAATAGAGATTGGTTTTGAAGAGAAGAGATATTAGTTAAAATTAGAGGTATGCAAAGTATTATAAAAGTAAAAGTACTGTTTGATATGGGAAGTATTAATAGAGAGGATATAACCTGGCCTTAAGTGAGTAGTGGTAGGGAATTTTCCCACAAAGATCACTGTCCTCTCATTGTTCATCGATTTGCTCAAGTGGGCCCAGTAACGTCTCCATTGGAGACTTTGTTGTTACTGTGTTTGGCATATCGAATATGTCATAGGTAGCTTGCCAGGCTCTGCCGTGCGGGCGAGAAACTCTTGGTAGCTTGCTGGGCTCTTCGAGAGGGGAGGAGGAATCGAACTTGGGTCGGCCATGTTGGCTGCATGCAAGGCAAATGTCCTACCGCTGTGCTATCGCTCCAGCCCTTCCACAAAGATGAACTTAAATAAAGATATTATTTAAACACGAAAGAACAGCGGGTAGGGCGTTCGCCTTACAAGCGGCCAACATGGCCGACCTGAGTTCGATTCCTCCGCCCCTCTCGGAGAGCCCGGCAAGCTACCGAGAGTATTCGATATGCCAGACACAGTAACAACAAAGTCTCCAATGGAGACGTTACTGGGCCCGCTCGAGCAAAATCGACGATCAACGGGAGGGCCTTTACCTTTACCTTTTCACCAAATAAACTTACTTAAGTTGAATGAAATACTCTAAGTAGTAGAATAGAGGCCCATTTGGAGAGCAGCTCAAAAGAGATATCCATCAATGACAGATCCATAATAATTCAGATTGTGGTACCCTTGATTTTCTCTAGTTATTATCAATTTAGAAATATTCACAGCACTTGCTAGGGATGTTAAGTAGAATTTCATTTGTCTAAAATGAAAATCAGTATTACTTAACCTTGCAAAAACTAGAAGGCAGCTGATAATTATCCTTTCTAGTTGCAAAACTCATTAGCAAGATGCTAATTTTTTTTTAAATGAACAAAGATGGTTAAACAAGATAAAAGAAAAAAATACCTTGAGAAGACAGGCGCTTTTGTTTACTTTTATTTTTTTTGCATGTATTTCTAACCTAGAAGAAAAATACATAACACAGAATTCAACATTTAAAAAACGATATTAATTTTGCAATATACCTGCTACACAAAAAAGAGTACTAATAAACTTTTCAGGTAAATAAGAAAAAAGTATACTTCTAAAGAAAAATGGAACGTTTTTATTGTAGGAAAGGAAAAATTATTAAAGTAATTTGGGGGCAATGGTTGTAATGTACAATAAAATTTCTTGTTTGATATAAGATCAGCCTTTTAAGTATTTTTCCTGTGAAAAAGAATTATATAGTTAATCTACAAAACAAATATACACTTTTCAAAACAAAGCAAAAGGTTTTAATTAATTCACTTATTTATTTTATGAGGGGGAATATTATGATGGGGATAAGTTAATTCCTCCCAAACTATTTTAAGTGTTACTAACAACGACTTGACTGTCTTAAAAATTCTCCACTTTTAACATATGAATGACACAAAAGTTCCTATGTCCTATTCCTAAACTGTTTAAATACTTTGAAATATTCCATATGGCTATCCCCAAATAATTCTATAAAAACTAAAGAATTTTTACACCAGAATTTTTATAAATCATGCTCCAACAGTCCTAAGAACAATAGGAATTACTAAGATTTACAGTAAAATTGATTTAGTTTTCACACATTCCTTTATAAAAACAGGTAAAATTTTAAGCAAAATAATCAGTTCTAAGTGAGAACTCCATGTTTTTATTACCTCATTCTCTGATAACTCCATTTCCTCATCAGCAGTTTTTCTTTTTGTATTTCTTTTTAACGGCCGAGACTTTTCCTTGGAGCCAGGCATCCTGATCTAAGCAATAATTTTAACAGTGCTTCAGAAAAATCTGTATAGGTGGAACAGACACAGAAAATTACTATAGCTTTGCACAATATTTTTAAATATATCTACATATTCCAAAACTGCTCCTAAAATTTTTGATAAGGGCTTTCGAGAGATGAGCTATAGGGTAAGGTCTTTGTCTTGCACACGGTGGAACTGGGTTTGATCCCCAGCACCCCAGGAATGATCCCCGAGTACAGAGCCTGAGCATTGTCAAGAGAGGTCCCAAAACAGAACAAAAAAAATAAATAAAATTTATGATAAAATTTGGGGGACATTCCAGTGTATTTTAAAAATATTTAAATAGATTAAAATTTGTTTTACCCTTATACAAAGATAGCTGATTCAATTTCATTCCTAGAAATGTATTCCATTTGTGTGACATAAAAGCATCATATAAAAATGCTTTTGCATCTCTTATGTTATATTTTCCTATGCAATAATATCTTCATATTTAATTCCAAAAAACCAGAAATACAATGATTTGTCTTCAATGAATAGAGACATCAATTTGATGAAGCTGAATATTGAGGTGTTCTTACTTTATGCACAATGCGCTCCATCACTTGAGTTATCTTCCAAATGAGTCACAGTTATAGTCCTTCTCAGCATGAACATTGAGAGCACTTAAAAACTTTCATCACAACTGACAACAATTTTATGTGTGTTGAATCTGATCATGAAAATAATTTAAAAATTTATTTCAGGAGCGAGTGCTCTGATTCTGTGGGCAGCTGAGCTATAGGAGGTATGGTCCGACCACCAAACCACAGACGTAACTGAAGCTGATGTAAATCCGAAGGCTTATCCCACCACAGATGTCCATCTCACTAAGAAACTACCGGACCTTGTTTAGCAGTCACAGTCACATAACTGCGAACAGTTTCGGAAAGGAGCCAATGAGGGCGCATAAATGCTCAAGAGAGGCCTTTCGGGGCCCCTGGAGATTATGCTGCGCCTCTTCCTGCTTCGTGCTTGTGTTCCGTATGTGGGCTCCAAGGAGGCCCTGGGTGGGCTCGCAGGGTCTCCAGTCCTGTCATCACCCGCTGTCACCATTACAGCAGGCTCACTGCTAATATAGCAGATCAAGTCCATCCAGAAGTCTATCCTATGGTTCTCGGTCTAAACCTGAGGCCTAACAGATGCCTACCCTCCCCCACAGTGTTGTGTACTGAATTATCTGTTAGCATGTAGGATTTCCAGCTACCTTCTATTATATAACACTGTAGTACTAAAAAACCCTTATTTTCTTTAGTAATTTATTTTTAAAACTTAATGTATCAGAGCTATTTTAAGTTCTTAGAAAAGCTGAACTATTAAGTACAAAGTTTTCATAATTCCCCTACTTTGCTGGCAGATCCCTATGTCCGCTATCAATTTATAGCATCTGGGGCTAGAGAGTACAGCCGTAAAGTGCTTGTTTTGCATAAGCATCAAATATGATCCCCCAAGTAAAGCCAGGAATAATTTCTGAGTGCAGAGCCAAAAGTAACCCTGAGCATCACCAGATACAGCCCCAAAACAGACCAACCAAAAAAATGACAGACTGGCACATTTCCTTTAATACGATACCATACTGATACACCATATCACCTAAGTCAAAATCAGAGCTGACATGACAGTTCATTCCTAGTATTGTACATTGTAGATGTTAGACTACTACTTCATTTTAATTTGCTTTAGTTTTTAGTTGTAATCAGTTGTAACCAATAAAAAGCATAAGTTCTCCCCCCTTGCCCTCAGTTTGAGAAGCACCACTTTCAATGAAATTAACTAAGGCAGTAATCTAGTGCTCAATTTCAATAATATTCACATTTTGTGCGGGATAAAGTTTTTGCTGTGAGGAGGTATCCTGCACATTGTTGTACCCTTTGCAGTATTCTTGCTCTCTACCAACTAGAACAAAGTAAGCATCCCTCAAGTCGTGATAACTAAAATCATCTGCAAACATTGTCAAACATTCCAGGTGGGAAACTCCAGGTTGAGAACCACTGCTAAGACAGAGAGCCATTGGTAAGGAAGAGACCCAGGTTCCGAATCTAGGCTCTGCCCATTAATTATCTGTATAGACTTGGACAAGCAAATTTGCTCTTTTGTCCTGAAAACAGTACAATGAAGTACTGACACCAAAGGTTCTCTGTAAACCTAACATTTCCTACAAAAATGCATAAAGCGTCTAGAGCAATACTTGGGCCAGGAAAGAATGCGATAGGTAAAAGCCGTTCGTGTTCTATGGGCTGGTTGCATTTACAGAAAAGCAGAAGTTGTGTCTTCTTAGAGATCCACAAAAAACCTCAAATTAATGGTCGTGATAGGAGGGATGTGATTGTATTTAGGGGCCCCTACTAAATACAATCACATCCCGTAGGATAAGTATGTGGATGCCCCATGCATGTGACGGGGGGGCGAGCACTATGAATCTGCAGGCGCATGAGCTATGGGGAAAATGCTCTAAGAGCAAAACGAGCACCTCAAATGTATCTGTGCGTGAGCCTGGAGGCCAAAGAAAAGCAAATGAATGAATGAAAGCAAATGAATGACAGTTCTAAACATCCAGATACGCGGATCAGGGTGAAGTATTAGAGGGAACACCAGCAAAAGCCTGACGGCAGGAGAGCTTTTAGTAAACTGGTCGGTCAGTGCCCTGGGGATGAAAGGTGCCGCGAGACCCTTCGCGTGCAATGCAGGAACGGACATAAACCAGGAGGAAGGGGAAGTTTTAGAACAGACCGTGCACTGTAGCAAGGAATTCGCGCTGGGTTTTGCTTCCTTACCCGTTAGCTCGTGCTCGTGGGAGCCGAGTTTCTCGGCCCAGGTCGAGTGCGAGCACGTCGTGGGGCAAAACGCAAACGTGCGTTTATCGCATGACGGTCCAGCCCGGCAGTCGTGATGACCTCGAGTCTCTAAGGCTGCACGGGGTCTCGGCCGAGGACGAGGCTCCTCCGGCCAAGGAGGACAGGGACCCCCAACAAACAGGAATCCGGCAAGCCGAGGGGTCGCGGCGCAGCGCCGACCACCCCACCCCAGCCCAGCCCAGCCCAGCCCAGCCGCCGCGTCCCGGTGGCCTTCTCGTCCCCACGTCCGTCAATGACCAGGCGCGGCGAGACGGAGTCGCAAACGCTCCGCACGAAGCCGTCCAACGGGTGAAATTCGGTGAGGGGGCTTAACCTCGGTCACTTAACCGCTTCTCCTCGGTCACTTCTCTTAAAAAAAAAAAAAAAACAACCCGCCGGAGCTCTCCGCCCGCGATCTCGGCGCCCAAACATTCAAACCTCCCGAGGGCACCGGAAGAGAACGCGGGGAACCGGAAGCACTTGCCTGGGGGAGGCGCGGCTCCCGGATGACGTCATCGAGCGGCGCCCGCCGGCGCGCCCGACGATTGGCTGGGGCGAGGGCGGTGTCGGCCCCGCCCCCGGCGCGCGCGCGGACGCCGGTGTCGCCTCCTCGGCGGGACAGCTGGCCGGGTGGCAGCCGGGCGGTAGCGTCCCCTGTGCAACTTCCACTTTCTCCCGCAGCTGGTCTCGGAGGCCGCCGGGCTTTGTGAGTAGAAGCGTGGGTGGCGGGCCCGACGCCGGCCCAGAGTCCGTTGTTCTCTCCAGCGCCTGTCCCCTCCCCGCCCCTGTCCCCCTTGTCCCCAGCTTTGCTCCTCGCCTCACCTCTGCGTGGCCCTGGCCCGGCTCCCCCGTGGCCATTGCCCGGCTTTGGCGTCTCAGCGGCTCTCTGACCTGCTGCCAGGTCTCCGGGGGCGGCGTTGGAGGGTGTCCAGGGAAAAGAACGTGACGCCGCAGTCCCCGGCCACCCGCCGCCCCTCCGGCGGAGGTCACTGCCTCTGTCCGTCCAGCGCCTGCCCGCCTGGTGACCGCGCAGCCTGGGTGACCCGGAGGGTTTCCCCTAGGGGGAGAGCCAGGTTCCAAGTGACTTTCTCAATCAACACGATTTAGGCGACTTAGAGCACTGAAACCAGTTTTGCAAGTATGAAAGGAGCTTCTTGAAAAGAAAAAAGGAACGTCTCAACCTTGTTCCACTGAGTATGGCACTCACTCTTAGTGCTTATGGTTGTCTCTGCAGAGGAAGAAGGATTTTTTTTTTAACCAGTCATCTGTTCTCGGACACTCAGGTTTTTTTTCCAGATTCTGACTATGGAGTACTATGTAGCTGTTAGAAAAGATGAAGTCATGAAATTTACATACTAGTGGTACTACATGGAAAGTATCATGCTAAGCGAAATGTGTACGAGAGAGAGGGACAGACATAGAAAGCATGCATTCATCTGGGGAACATAAAGGAACAAAATAGGAGACTAACACCCAAGAGTGGCCGAGATTAGTACCAGGAGGTTTGCTCCATGACTTGGAGGCCAGCCACACACTCTAAGGGAAAAGGCAGCTCAGATAGAGAAGGGAGCACCAAGTAAAGGGTGTTGGGAGGATCCTCCCAGGATGGGAGAAGCATGCTGAAAGTAGACTATAGACCAAACGTGATTGCCACTCAATGCCTCTTTTGCAAACCACAGCATCCAAAAGGAGAGGGAGAACAAAAGGGAATGCCCTGCCACAGAGGCAGGGGGCGATGGCGGGGTTGGGAGGGATACTGGAATTCCTGGTGGTGGAGAATGAGCACTGGTGGAGGGATGGGTACTCGATCACTGTATAACTGAAACCCAAGCACAAAAATTTGTAAATCTGCAACTGTACCTCATAGTGTCTCACTAATAAAAATTTAAAAAAAATAAAAAGACAAGACAAATGCCTCGACCTTGTTCCACCGAGTATGGCACTCACTCTTAGTGCTTATGGTTGTTTCTGCAGAGTAAGAAGGATTTTTTGATTCCTAGATTGCTAAGTAATTTTATGCTTTTTCAATAATAAAATTAGTGTTTCGTTATATTAGGACGTGCAATGTATATTCAGGTGGACTTTTTTACATCTATGGAAGATTTTATGATGATCATCTAGTTATTAATGAAAACCCGAAAGTGTTACCGATAACATCTTTTAATAGAAAGCCAATATTCCCTTCATAGGATAGGACGCTTTTTTTCTAGTTTTATACATCTATTTAGATTTCTCCTAAACGTTTTCTTGATTTGATAAATTGAGAAAAATTAAGAAAGCTTTTACATCAATAAATAAAACAGGGTCTGGAGAGATAGCACAGCAGGTAGAGCATTTGCCTTGCACACAGCCGACCCGGGTTCGATTCCCAGCATCCCATATGGTCCCCTGAGCACCGCCAGGAGTCATTCCTGAGTGCAGAGCCAGGAGTAACCCCTGAGCATTGCCGGGTGTGACACAAAAAGCAAAAATAAATAAATAAAGTTAACTTTCTTAAAAAATAAATAAAACCATTATAAGTAATGTTACTTAAAAAACAGTGACTTTCTGCGTACACAAGGCTGCAAAGACACTTTTTTTTAAAACTAAGGGGTCCATTTATTTTAAGTACATTTATCATTAAATAGAAACATGTAACAATTCAAATATTTATAAGTATTGTGATTCATAGAAAATTAGTATGATCTAAAAGTTATTTGCATAGTGAGATTCACAATTATTTACAGTTCACCCAATCATTGCAGAAACAGTATTTCTAGAAATAATGTCCTCTTTCCCAAAAGTAGTCATTTCACAGAGCCATTCTTGTAAGGCCATTAAAGTAATAGCTGCACCAATAAAACCCAGCTAATTCAGAAATTTAGAGGTGACCACTAATTTCAAACAAAATGAATTCCCTTATACTATTTATACATGTTCCCATTTTCAGCATAGAAGAAAATAATTAGGAAGCAATATATTCTTATTTGTAACAGGAAGTTTTAAATATTTAAAATGACAACAAGAAAGTACAGTTGGTCATTTTTACATCTGTCATATTAAATCTTGAAAATTAGTGGTTTCGTTGAAAGACATTCTAATGAAAAAAATTTTAGTTGTGGATTTTAGGATTTTTAGTTGTGATTATATAGCATTAAGTATCGAGAATTTCCTGTCTTCCCAAACAGATTTTATAATTGCATATCAGCATTAGTCATATTTGAAAAGAGCACTCTTTAAGTTTTTCTCAATTTAGAACTTTAGCTCTTTTGATATCCCCTCATGAGGATCACAAATGTATCTGAATGTACGTATATGGGACAGTGATTGTGTTTGGAATCAATATAACACACACACATATATATATATATATAAATATATATCCAGATGTAAAGAGACGTTCAAGTCGATAAAACTCTACTAACTTGTTCTCCGTTTCATCCAAAAAGTACAATCCTTCCCCAAACCCTGTATAAGGCATCATGTGTAAAGTTTCAGATTGATGGTTTTTCTCCCAGTGTGTTCTCCCAGCTTAATAGTTCGTTTGCGCTAAAATTACAATTTGCGTGAACAGTTCTTCCCAGGTTTAGGAAAAAAGCCAGGGAATAGTTTGTGTGAAATTGGTGTGCTAGTTCTTGTCTATGCTCTACCCCACAGTTTCCAAATGACCTTTATCTTTCTCCACCCTAATGGTTCAGTTGTAGCTTTATGACTTTTCTCATCCACCATTTAAGCTAGAACCTGTGTGGCTTTCTAGAGGATGGGCGATCAGAGGCTGTGGATTAAATAGAATGACAGCCACCTGAGCTTTCAAAAAAGTAATGGTAACTGGACAGGAGAGATAGTGCAGGAGGTGAGGTCCAGAGCAGGGTATGGCTGGTTCAATCCCCAACAGCATATGGTCTTCCACTTAGCTCCCACTCACTCCCCCACCACTGGGTGTGACCCTAAAACCCAGTAAACAAATGGAACATTGGGAATTATTTTATATTTCTGTTTAGACTTTTCTTTATGCACTTCTAACCTAGTTGACATACTCCAGTAGTTTTTTAATCTTGATTCCTATTTAAAATTCTTGGCCGGGGTAGGGTTCTTGCCTTGCCTGTGGCCAACCTGGCTTGAATCCCAGCACTGCACAAGGTTAGTCTCCTGAGCCCTACCAGGAGTGATTCCAGAGCACAACCAGGATTAAGTCCTAGTCACTTTAAAAAAACTCAATAAAATTCTGACTTGTGTATAGTATACTTCAGATAAATGCACATATGTAATTGTACCTTTTGGACGAATTTCCACAAATAGTTGCCACCGTCAAAGGTTCTATCTTTCTCCTTTTTGTATTAACTGCCATTAACAACTAATCTTCTGACTTTTGACATCAAAGAGCCCTACCTGTTTTCATAACATGTTTAATAGCTACACAAAACTCTGATATGTTCCAAAATGCACTTATTCATTTCTGTGTTACTAGACATTGAGTATTTCTAAGTATTCTTTATTACAAGCGAAATTATAGGGAATAAATATTTTATGTTGTAACTTTCCAAGGAATGATGTTTCTCAATGGAATAATACAATTTCTTTTTTATAATTTAAAATTTTTAGATTTAATTACTGTAAGGTAACAGTTACAAAGTTGCTCATGGTTGGGTTTCAGTCAGTAAAACCAGCCTAGAGGCTCTGAAGAAAAATTCACAGCAAATATACAGTGGTCTGCAATGATAGTAATTGTGGAAGGACAAAAGTTACAAAGTATCAGGTCTAAGAAGGAGAAAATAGATGAGTCCTCTTTTCTGTTTCCCCTAGTGGCTCCCATTTTGCTTCTTATACATCTATGTTCACTGCATTTTCTTTTCTCCCCTAGGTCCCCCATTGTTCCCGTTGGCTGTTTTCCATCCTTGATCATGTTGAGGGCTAAGACCCAGCTTTTTCTTCTCTCCCCTCATTACCTGAAGCAGCTAAAAGGGTCATCAAGCTTCAGATTTAGATGGCAGCGACTTCTACACCAGCAACAGCCTCTTCACCCAGAATGGGCTGCCCTCGCCAAAAAGCAGCTGAAAGGCAAAAACCCAGAAGACCTAATATGGCACACCCCAGAAGGGATCTCCGTAAAGCCTTTATATTCCAGTAGAGACACCAAAGAATTACCTGAAGAACTTCCAGGAGTGAAGCCGTTCACACGCGGGCCGTACCCTACCATGTACACCTTCCGGCCCTGGACCATCCGCCAGTATGCTGGTTTCAGTACTGTGGAAGAGAGCAATAAGTTTTATAAGGACAATATTAAGGGTGAGATTTTGCCATTTGATATTTGTGATCAAATGTATACCTCCTTTTACTAGATTTTGTGAATGGAAGCTGGTTAATCACAATACAAATAAGTCACTTTTTAATTTTGTAATTGAGATTATACTCTAAAACATGCCTGGTCAAAAGATAGGTGAGACAGAATAAAGCACTAGATCCTTGAAAGCAAGCAACTTATTGCACACACTAAAAAAGAAATTAGGGTGAAGTGAAGAGACATCAGTTTTCCTAAACAGCTTTTAACTAATCATATTAGAGCAGGAATTGGCGGGGCAAAAATAGCTTAAATAATATCACCCTCCCAGTGACAAATTATAATAATACGGTTCCAGTATGTTCACCACAATTTAGTATTCATTCACTGAAAATTATATTAATTACTATTTTTCTTTTTGGTTTATAATGAAATATTATTTGAATGCTAAACTTTAAAATATCTAAGGTTATATTATTAACCATGGAGGACTGAATTTGTAGTGTAGCTATTTCATTTTTGCATGTTTCACAATTCTATTTCTCTGAATGTTTAGTCAAAACATTTATATAATCATATTAACTAAAGGAATACACATAAGTAACAGCATGTAATGCTAAATTGTGTGAACTGTATATAAACAGCCAGAGTTTTTCTTGAAAAATAATTCCTCAATAATTTTTAAGTTCGAAAATTCCTCAGATGAATATGAGTTCTAAGTGAGATGTTTTATTCATTTCATTCTAATGGTGAAGTATGACTCTTATGAAGTGAAGTGTTTGGGTTTTTTTTTTTTGGGCAAGGATTGAACCCAGGGCTTCATACTTAAAATGCATAAATGCATGTGTTCTACCACTGCCCTGGAAGTGAAATATTTCATTTACATTAAGTTTGACTTGTATGTATATCAAAGTATGCTATAGTAACAAACCAACACTCCTCGTAGTGTTAAAGCAAGACAGTTTACTTTGTTGTCAGACTTTAATTCTGTTATTTTTCATTTAATCTTTAAGCTGGTCAGCAGGGATTATCGGTTGCCTTTGATTTAGCAACACATCGTGGCTACGATTCGGATAACCCTCGAGTTCGTGGTGATGTTGGAATGGCTGGAGTTGCTATCGACACTGTGGAAGATACCAAAATTCTCTTTGATGGAATTCCCTTAGAAAAAATGTCTGTTTCTATGACCATGAATGGAGCTGTTATTCCAGTTCTTGCAACTTTTATAGTAACTGGAGAAGAGCAAGGCGTACCTAAAGAGAAACTTACGGGTACAATCCAGAATGACATACTCAAGGAGTTTATGGTCAGAAATACTTATATTTTCCCTCCTGAACCATCTATGAAAATCATTGCTGACATTTTCCAGTATACAGCAAAGGTATCGTCTGTCATACTATAGGTTGTTCTGCATTTCTTGGTAGAAATTTTTATAATGTACTGTACCTAATTTGAACTTGACTGAATCTGAGTGAAGTTTTAATCTGAGTAAAAGTGTGGTATGTGTGGTTAGTTTTATTATTTTGTTTAATGTATAGGGTTTTTTTTTTGCATTTTGGATCACACCCCGTGATACTCAGGGGTTACTCCTAGCTCTGCACCCAGGAATTACTCCTGGAGGTGCTTGGGAGACCAGATGGGATGCCAGGGATCAAACCAAGGTCGGCAGCCTGCAAAACAAACACCCTACCCACTGTACTATTGCTCTGGACCAATATATATAATTTTTTTTTTGTGACTCTTTTTTCACATTAGAATAATGTCCTTAAGATACAACCATTTTGGAATGTATATCAGAATTTCCTCCTTTTTAAGTTGTTGTGCTATTCCAATTTTCCAGTATTTCTGTTACTAAATTCTGCTGTTTTCCCTCTATAGAAAAGTGCCTGTTTCTTTTTATTTGTGAACTCTGTATATACTCAAGTCACCTCTCAGCTCATTTAATTCAATTTCCTTAACTGCTTTTGTGATAAAACATTTTTCAGCACTTTTTGGTAACAAAATACTTGTAAATCTAAAATACCATATGCATGTATGTGTGTGTGTGTATATATGTGTGTGTGTGTTTATGTATGTAAAATCTGCATTATGTATAACACAACATATAACATATATATAAAGCATAAATACTATGTTACGAACAATAGCATTTTAGGGGAATAATTACTATGAATTGGCATAATGCCAAGTGGAACATATCAAACATTTCATTCCTACAGCTCTATGAGGAGAAATTATAATTCTTATTTCTATTTTATACTTTAGGAAACCAAGTAATAACAAGGTTGAAAACTTGCCTGTAGTCTCATGGCTAGTTGAGTACATAGCTAGAACTTGAGCACCTTAGCTTAGGAGCTCATGTTCATAACCATTTTATTGACTTTCTGAAATTACACTTTTATTTTTTTATGTTTGATTAATTCTTGTGGATGATAGTAAGTTTTTTTGAATTTGTATGACCTAATCATATGTATACCTTGACACATTTTAGGAGGAAAATTTAGTGGAAATGTCATTTTCTTAGTGCTTATGGAAGAAAATCTCAGAAATTTTTAGCATCAAATTTTATAGCATATCACACTGAAATCTTTGGTGTGTTCTTATTAATGTTCAGTGCACTTCTTCAAGTATGAAAATAAATAAAATTTAAAAAGAAAATTAATAACTTATAATTTAAGTCTTTAGGTCTTCTTCAGGTTGCTTATAAGGTCAAAGTTTTTGTTTTGGAATGACAGATGTTTTTATTCACTTTTTAGGCCAAAGGTTACCTTACAAACTGCAACTAGCTAATTTCAACTTGCTGACTCAAGTCTAAAGGATGGTTAGCAAAAATTCTCTTTCACTGGAAAAGTCCTTATAATTGGTCACTGGATTAGCTATTATGTGGGCTAGCAAATTAACTGTTAAAAATAAATACTAAATATTTGAAGTTAATATATAAACAATATCATAAAAATATTTAAAAATAGGTTTAGTAGAACCTTTTAATAAATTTTGTTCATGTTGTCATTTTTGTTATCTGATATAGCACATGCCCAAATTTAATTCAATTTCGATTAGTGGATACCATATGCAGGAAGCAGGTGCTGATGCGATTTTGGAACTGGCCTATACGATAGCGGATGGGTTAGAATACTGTAGAACTGGACTCCAGGCTGGTCTTTCAATAGATGAATTTGCACCAAGGTGAGTAAATTGAACTTGCATTATTTCAACCTTAAAAAAATTCATAGAAATATTTTATGAGTATGTAGGAAAGTATATTGAGGAAGTTATTGAAAAAAAGTCCATGTTAATCATACAGCAGTTTCTTATTTCTCTTATCTGGGAAATAATGAGAGAAGAAGCTAATACCTATTTTTATTTTTAATAATAGGTATTAATTTTGACCATAGTTCTTAGTAAATTTGATGAATCTTGTCTTCAGCTATAAAGAGAATACTATTGATTGACATAGTTTAACAAAGAATATTAAAATGTAAACAATATTTAAGAAATTTATTTTTTCCCATTTTAAAGGGCAGTCATCTATTATCTTGATAAACTTATATAAAATATACACAGGAGTACACAGTGCTAGTAAAACGGTTTTTGGGGGGGCTTGGAGATAAAGTGCAACAGGTTAAGGTGCTTATCTTGCATGCACCTGACTTGGTTCAGTCCCTGGTACTGTATATGGTCCCTTAAGTCTCTCCAGGACTAATTCCTGAGCACAGAACTGGGAGTAAGACCCCTAAGAACAGTCCAATATGGCCCCAAAACAAACAAACAAAAATTCTATTTAAGAAGAGCTTGTTTATAAAGTTGTGTAAAGGTATGGGAAAGCTTGGGACCAGGAAGGTAATACAGTGATTAGGGTTTATGCAATGCTGGCTTTGATCCCAAGTACCACATGGATGACTGGATGTCACTGGGTTTAGCTTTGGAAGCTCCCAAGCATTGCTTGGGGGGTTCTTTAGGGTCTGAGCAGCACTGCATGCTTGTGTTCTTGCACTGAATCAGTGGCCTGGTTGGTTGAGTATTCCTAAGAATGTCCCAGAATTTCCTGAGCTCTACTTAAACTCCAGTCCCATATATGAATATATGTATCACTGTATCACTGTGTCACTGTCATCCCATTGTTCATCGATTTAAGCGGGTGCTAGTAATGTCTCCATTTGTCCCAGTCCTGAGATTTTAGCAGCCTCTCCTTGTCTTTCCCAACACTGCCATATTGGAGGCTCTTTCATGGTCAGGGGATTGAGACCTGTTTCTGTTACTGTTTTTGGAATCACGAATATGCCATGGGTAGCTTGCCAGGCTCTGCCATGTGGGCGGGATACTCTCTGTAGCTTGCTGGGCTCTCCGAGAGGAATGTGTGTGTGTGTGTGTGTGTGTGTGTGTGTGTGTGTGTGTGTGTGTGTATGTTTCCCTCCATGCTTTGTTGCCTACTGTCTAAACCCCATCAAATATGGTATAGTAATTATGGAGAATGGTTAGGGAGTGTCTTATGATATGTCCAGGAATAGATATGTTCACTCATGCATGAGGCTCGGCCTGAGTGTGTGGAAAGCACACTCTCTCTCTCTTTCTCTCTCTCTATATTATATGTATATATACATATACACAAATATATACATATATACATACATATATGTATACATTTGGAAAATACATACACACACACACATACTTGGGAAATCCAAAATGAAGTTTTGAAGTATTTGAATTCAGGGGCCACAAGGGTAATACAGTGATTAAGGTGCTTGCTTTGCACTGATATATCTGGTTGGATCTCTGGCACTGCATGTGGTTCTCTGAGTGCTGCCAGGAGTAAATACTGAATACAGAGCGAGGAGTATGCCCTGAGTACCAACTGATTGTGCCATGAGTACCACTGGATTTCCCCCAAAATAAGCAAACCAATGTCAGTACCATAAGCACTTGGTAGCTTTCTTTTGGCTGAGCACTGTCTTATACTGTGGATACATTATGTATATACATTAAGGCTTATACTTTCAGAATTTATAGACTACTGAATGTCTTTATCCTAGAATTGTTACGTACATGTCATAGTGTTCTTAAAGTTTCTCAAATGAGTTTTCAGAATTTCCTAGTGGTTGCTAAAACTTAAAATATTTCCATAGTCTCACCAAGTTTTTTTTATGATTTTATTAAGACCATTTGTTTTTTTTGCCTTTATTCTTTGTAGATATAGGGATTACATAATATCTAATTTTTCAAGAAACTGAATGTTGAGGCAGACAGGAAACTTCAGCTGTCTTTTCTTAAGCCACGCATTAAACAGAATTATAAAATGTAAAATTACAAGTTTTTGATATAGCAAAGTATACTTTTATAAAAAGTTACTTCCACGTTAGCATAATCTACATTTATTTCTATTTCAAAATAACATATAAAATATTGACAGAACTATCTGGAGCGATAACACAGTGGTAGGGCGTTTGCCTTGCACGCAGCCAGCCCAGCTGAGCCGGGTTCGATTCCTCCGCCCCTTTTGGAGAGCCTGGCAAGCTACCAAGAGTATCTCGCCCACACAGCAAAGCCTGGCAAGCTACCCGTGACATATTCAGTATGCCAAACATAGTAACAACAAGTCTCGCAATGGAGAGTTACTGGGTCCGCTCAAGCAAATCGATGAACAATGGGAGAACAGTGTTTTGTTTTGTATCCAAACTGATAAATAATTCCTTGGGGTCTTTAGTAATTTTTAAGAGCTTAAAAGATTCTGAAGGGCTGGAGAATTAATACAGCCAGTAAGGCACTTGCTGTGCATATGACCAATTCTGGTTCAATACTGAGGAATAAATGTGGTCCTCCAAGCACTGCCAGGGGTGATCCCTTACTCCTGAGCACAGAACCAGGAATAAGTCCTGAGCACAGCTGACGTGGCTATGAAGTGAATTTTTCTTCTATATGCAAATGGCTGCACTTTTATGAATTAGATTTAAAAGTTAAATATATATACAGGCATATTTTTATTTTAATTAAGATTTAATTGTTTGAGAATATAATCTGGATATTGAGTTTTATGTTCTACAATTAGCTTTACTTTCGATTTCTTATTAAGTGTAATCAACTTCTGGTTGTAATACGTTTTAGATTGTCCTTTTTCTGGGGAATTGGGATGAACTTTTATATGGAAATAGCAAAAATGAGAGCTGGGAGAAGACTCTGGGCTCATCTGATAGAGAAAATGTTTCACCCTAAGGACTCTAAATCTCTTCTTCTGAGAGCACATTGTCAGACATCTGGATGGTCACTTACTGAGCAGGTATGTATTCAATTTAAAGTGTAGAATTTTAAAAGCGTTGTATCCTTAATCTCAACAGCATGGATAAATCAGGAAATGGATTAAGAAACTACTTGCTAATATTTGAAAATAATAGTTATTTTGAAGCTTGATACACACTTTTTACGTGTTTAAACATATAAAATTAATGATGTTGTCTCCCTCTAGTGGTTAATAATAATTACTTAAATCTTAACTCACCCATAGTGCTCTTATACTGTTTTGAAAGTAAAAAGCAAATATATTTGATGGTGTAATGGTAAATAAGTAATCCTTTAATATTAAAATAATTTTGTGTTAAAACTTAATATCAGCTGCCTAATTGAACCTTTATTTCTTACAGAAATATTTTTCTATTTTGTTATGATTTTGTGCTCAAAAGCATGTATGCAAAGTAGCACTGTCCTCCCGTTGTTCATTGATTTGCTTGAGCCGGCGCCAGTAATGTCTCCATTGTGAGACTTGTTACTGTTTTTGGCATTTCGAATATGCCACGGGGAGCGTGCCAGGCTCTGCTGTGTGGGCGGGATACTCTCGGTAGCTTGCTGTGCTCTTCTAGAGGGACAGAGTTAAATTATACATTTAAAAGTTAATAAATTGATTTTGATTTGATTCACTTTTGTTCAAATCACAGGATTAACTAATATTCAGATTGTTTTTCATGTTCCATTTTCCAATATGTTTTAATGAATTAAAATGATATAATTTGTTTGCCTTGCACGTGGTCTACCTGGGTTTGATTCCTCCATCCCTCTCGAAGAGCCCGGAAAGCTACCGAGAGTATCCTGCCCACACGGCAGGGCGTGGCAAGCTCCTCATAGTGTATTTGATATGCCAAAAACAGTAGTAAGTCTCACAATAGAGACGTTACTGGTGCCTGCTCGAGCAAATTGATGAACAACGGGAGGACAGTGCTATAGTGCAATAATTTATGTTGAGCATCTATTTTGTACATATTGTGATAAAAATAGGGAAGAGATAATGATCTGTGAGATGAATTGTCTTGTAATTAAGCAGAAGTTGTCTTCTGTGACACAGTTATAAAAGAATACTTAGACAAAATAGAAGTAAACCACAAATGTTTTTATTTCAGAGACTTACAAAGCAGTATTTTTGTGTTTAAGTGCAGACTTGATGTTTTGACTCCTATACCTAAGTCCTGCTCGTTTAATAATTTGGCCAAATTCATTGAATATTGCGATGCCTCATGTAGACATTAGCAAAGCAGGCATGCCAATAGTGCTTAGTATTGTATCTCATAGCTACAGGACATACCAGCTGTTGGCCTGATTTTCTTTGTTGTTTTTTTTCTAAATGTTTTAGGATCCTTACAATAACATTATTCGTACCACAGTAGAAGCCATGGCAGCGGTGTTTGGAGGAACTCAGTCTTTGCACACAAATTCTTTTGATGAAGCTTTGGGTTTGCCAACTGTGAAAAGTGCTCGAATTGCCAGGAACACACAAATCATCATTCAGGAAGAATCAGGAATTCCCAAAGTGGCTGATCCTTGGGGAGGTTCATATATGATGGAATCTCTCACAAACGATGTTTATGATGCTGCCTTGAAGGTCAGTTTTCCATCTTTGAAGCTTTGAAAATTTATAGGTTTAGAGGCCAAAGATATAGTACAGTGTATAAGCACTTGCCTTGTAGGCCGTTGATTCTAGTTCCATCCCCTGCATCGTAAATGGCCCTCTGAGTCCCACCAAGGAAAATGCCTGAGCACAGACCAGGAGTAAGCCTGGAGTACTACTTGGTGTGGCCTACAAATTAAAAATCAACCATACAGTCCCCAAGATGTACAGGTTTATAATGTGTATAGGTCCTTACTTTACAAATCCAATTTTGTTGAGGTTTCTATCCAGATTTATAAGCAAATGGGAGGAGGAATTTTAAATTTTGTTCTATGGCTATCATGAAAGCTGAAACTCATTTTAAAAGCACATTTGTATTTGCATTAAAGAATTTGGGAGTAGGGGGCACTTCCCAAGCAGTTCTCACTCACTCTATTGGCAATTCTTGGCTTACTTGCCAGCCTGACTTTGAGTGAAAGGGCCCAAGGATGGGGTGCTGCTTGTAGCCTGTGCTGCTTACCTGGCATAGCATATACGACCCCCGACTGTCTCTTTGGCTCCTATGTGTGAAGTATTTAAAAGTTAAAAAAGACAGCTCCTATTAAGATGTACAGATAGAAGCAGTGGTTCTTTCTCTTCTGCTTGATTTTTTCCTGCTTTCCTGAATCAGCTGTATCTTTTTTCTTTTTTTGAGTATACTTTTTTTTGTGTGTTGTCATTTCAAGTTTTTAACACAGTTTCTTTTTTTTTTGAAATGAAATATAATTAACATATAACATTGTATTAACTTTAGGTATAAAACACGGTGATTTTATGTTTGTGTATATGTAAAGTAAAAGTAAAGTAAAGGCCCTCCCGTTGATCATCGATTTGCTCGAGCGGGCCCAGTAATGTCTCCATTGGAGACTTTTGTTGTTACTGTGTCTGGCATATCAAGTACGTCACGGGTAACTTGCCAGGCTCTGCCGTGAGGCGAGATACTCTCAGTAGCTTGCCGGGCTCTCCGAGAGGGCCGGAGGAATCAAACTCGGGTCAGCCATCTTGGCTGCGTGCAAGGCAAACGCCCTACCGCTGTGCTATCGCTCCAGCCCTGTGTACATGTGTGTGAGTTAAATAAACTAGAAACAACTTACTTAGTATTTGTTACCATACAGTTTTACCTCTTTCTGTTTGGGATTAGAATATTTTAAAATTCTACTTTCAGCGGCTTTTAGATATATATTGTTGTTAACCGAAGAATTTCTACTTACTGTTCTTCTTATTAACTTCCTATGACATTCTACATTTACTACTTAAAATTTATAATTCCATAATATTAATTATACAATACATATATTGGTGCCATTTATAAAAATATTCTCACTCTTTTGCGTTTTCTTAATTTATTTGTCTCATTAGCTCATTAATGAAATTGAAGAGATGGGTGGAATGGCCAAAGCTGTAGCAGAAGGCATACCTAAACTTCGAATCGAAGAATGTGCTGCCCGAAGACAAGCTAGGATAGATTCTGGTAAGATAGAATGAAAAAGTTCATATGTGAAATCCAATATTGAAAATGCATAACAGTATTATAAATCATAGTAACTAAAAAATGGAGAATAAAAGAAAGGAAAATAAATACTAACTTTAGTTTGAAGATAAAATATCTAGTTTATAAAATAAAAATAATGTAAATGTTGGCATAAACTTTTAATTTCTAGTTAGCCAGCAGACCATTTATCTATTCTCTGTGTTGTATTTTTGACCAACACGAATGCCACAGTCTTGTGTGTATTGTATATTTACAAATTGTGTGTATGTGATGCTCACTATATAAATTTGTGTGTGTGTATGTGTGTGTGTGTGTGTGTGTGTGAGAGAGAGAGAGAGAGAGAGAGAGAGATTAAACATCAGCTTTTGAAAGATGACATTATCATTGGTCGTTGTGCTCTGAATTGTGGTGTTAATTCATACATTCAATCTGTGTTTCCTTAGTCTTTAATATTTGAGGCACTTTGCAATGTCTGTACATACTGCTTGTGAGCAGGACAGAAATGGTCTCTGTATTCATAGAGTTTGCATTTTGGTAAAAAAGAGAGAAAATGAACCAGAAAACAATCAAAAATAAAGTTATAGATTGTAATAACTTATATGAAGAAAAGAAGAATAGAATTGGGGATATAAGTGGAAGGATGCTTTTAGATAAAAAAGTAATCTGAGAGCAGAAAAAATATACTTCTTATCATGTTAAATACGTGTCTTTGTAACTTTTATCAGTCACAGATTTTAAGAAAATTTTTTGTTTAAAAAGGAGAATTCAAGGTAACTTAGAAAATCTAGAAAATGTATTGATTGCTAATCTACTGCCTTATAAGTATTAGATTGTAGCTGCTGCTACTTTTTTTATCTTATAGAGTTAGAGGACAATTAATTAGAAACTGTGAAACTTGCGGGTTAGGAGTATAATGAAATTTCCCCTTTGCCCAGATCCTGATATGTACCTGTTATTTCCCATCCCATTGGGATTTGCTAAACTGCATTGATGTTTCCTTAAGAGTTAAGGACAATGCTGAAAATATAGGGAAAGTGCAAGATGGTCTGTTAGTGATAATTCAACAGTTGTCTGTTAATAGAATCTACATTTGTCTGTGGTGGTGGAAAATGGTCACTGGTGGAGGGGTGGTACTTGATCATTGTACAACTGAAACCCAAGTACAAAGATTTGTAACTCTACAACTGTACCTCATGGTGTTTCACTAATAAAAATTAAAAAAAGAATCTACATTTGTTTTCCTCTATGAAATTAACAGGTTCTGAAGTAATTGTTGGAGTAAATAAGTACCAGCTGGATAAAGAAGAATCTGTGGATGTTTTGGCAATTGATAATACTTCAGTACGTAATAAGCAGATTGAAAAACTTAAAAAGGTAATAATAGGTACTTTTTTCTTTAAGTGTCTTCCATTGTCTGGGCACTAACTTAATTCTTTGCATTAAGTTGCCTATGGGTGTTTATTATTTTGCAACATTTTACAGGTAAGAAGACTAAAGAGAGATTGAGACACTTATCCTGGGTAACTAAATAGCTAAGACTCATGTTAAGATCTGTTGCTACTCAAATACTCGAATATTTTAAATCATGGTATCTCCTTCTGTAGAACATGTATGTTATGAGAAACCACACTAATAATAATAAAATCTTCTGTAATTTATGGTAGATATTAAAGCTAGTAATCTCACTAATTCAAAGTTGAAAACACGGTTCGGATTTATTATTTGAACCCAGAGCTTCTGTAATTTATATATTTATTTATTTTGCTTTATTTGGGCCACACCTGGCAATGTTCAGGATTTACTCCTGGCTCTGAATTCGGGAGTTACTCATAGAGGTGCTCAGAGGACCTTATGGGATGCCAGGGATTGAATCCAGGTTGGTCACATGCAAGGCTAGCACCCTACCCGCTGTACTAAGTCTGACCTCTAAAATTTATTTCTGCTAGGTCATAGTCCCTGGTATTATTATGAAAGAATCACTTGTTTTTTTTGGGGGGAATTCTTTCTTCTGCTTTTCTGAGGGCAGCAGTGCTTAAGAGACCTCAGGCCTCCATGGGTCATCCTCAGCCATCTTGGCTGAAAGTTCAATACCAGGACCTGAGGATGCGGTAATGCTTGGGCCTTTTGCTGCTGGGGGTACCCAGGCCATCCTCACAGTGGTGAGGACCTCCAGAGTTGCACCCTGCCATGCTGGGAGGGCCGTGTGGTGCCGAAATCAAACTCAGATGGGGCACGTGTAAGACACGGTATTACTGTACTCTCTTGGCCCTCTGCTTGTATATTCATTCATTTATTTTAGGCATGGTGAATTATAACACTGTTACTGATAGTATTTAAAGTGTACCCTCCATCAGTGTCCTCTCCCGCTTCCCCCCAGCATTGTAGCTCTGTTCTATAAACCAGTTCTCAGATTCAATCATCATTGGTCATTTGTTATTCCCTGTGTTTCTTTATATCTCTTATCTGAGAGAGGCCATAATTCAAAGATATTTGGTAGTGCTTTAGTAAGCTATAGTTTATAACAAACTTTATTTTGATTGAATTAAGAGTATATTGTTCTTCTAATTTTTACTGTATTATTTAAAGTATATGAAATACTAAGATAGGTAAAGCAAATTAATCCCCTCTGCTCTAAACTCTGTCTCTGTTATATAAAGTTACCCTGGTCTCTTAATCTTGGACTTTTGTACTGATTGAAGTTTCTTTTTCTTTCTTTACTTTTTTGAGATAGTGTTTATATCTGCTCTATCGCTAATGATTGCTCTTTCTGATGTTGAGGTCTTTAAAACATTTTTTTTGGAGGGGGTCACACCCGGCGATGCACAAGGGTTACTCCTGGCTCATGCACTCCTGGCTGTGCTCAGGGGACCATATGGGATGCTGGGAATCGAACCCAGGTCAGCCGCGAGCAAGGCAGATGTCCTATCCACTGTGCTATTGCTCCAGCCCCGGTCTTTGATCTATTTTGATATGACTTTTGGACTGGAGCTATAGCACAGCGGTAGGGCATTTTCCTTGCATGCAGCCAGCCCGGCCAAGCCAGGTTCGATATCTCCACTCCTATTGGAGAGGCTGGCAAGCCTGAGAGTATCTCACCCGCAAGCTCCCCGTGACATATTCAATATGCCAGACACAGTAACAACAAGTCCCAAAATGGAGATGTTACTGGGCCCACTCGAGCAAATCAATGAACAATGGGAGGACAGTGTGTGTGTGATCTGACTTTTGTGCATGGTGTTAGGTAGAGGTCTGAGCCCATTTTTTCCCCCCGAATGTAGCTGTCCAGTTTTGCCTGCACCATTTGTTAAAGAAACTTTCCTTGCTCCACTTCACATTTCTTGCTCCCTTATCAAAGATTAGATGATCATGTATTTGAGGGTGTAAGGATATTCAACCCTGTTCCATTGGTTGGTAGCTCTGCCTTTCTTCCAGTATCATGCTGTTTTAATTATTACCACTTTGTAGTAGATTTTGAGGTTGGGGAAGGTGATGCCAAGAATTGCTTTAGCTATTTGTGGCAGTTTGTTGTTACATATGAATTTCAGGAGTGTTTGATCAGTTTCCTTGAAGAATGTCATGGGTATCCTTATAGGGATCACATTGAATCTGTATAATGCCTTGGGGAATATTGCCATTTTGACAATGTTAATTCTCCCAATCTATGAACGGGGGATGAGTTTCCATTTCCTCGTGTCCTGTTTTATTTCTTGAAGTAGCATTTTGTAGTTTTCTTTGTACAGATCCTTTACCTTCTTAGTTAAGTTGATTCTGAGGTATTTGATTTTCTGAGACATGATTGTGAACGGACTGGAGTGATAGCACAGCAGTAGGGCATTTGCCTTGCACGCAGCCAGCCTGGCCGAGCCAGGTTCGATTCCTCCGCCTCTCTCGGAGAGCCTGGTAAGCTACTGAGAGTATTCAATATGCCAAACACAGTAAAAAGAAGTCTCACAATGGAGATGTTACTGGGCCTGCTTGAGCAAATCGATGAACAACGAGAGGACAGTGATTGTGAATGGGATTGCTTTTTTCATATCGCTTTCTTCTCTCTCATTATTTGCATATAGGAAAGCCATGAACTTTTGGGTATTGATTTTATAGCCTGCAACTTTACTATACAAGCCTGTTATTTCTAGGAGCTTCTGGTAGAGGCTTTAGAGTTCTCCAAATAGAGTATCATATCATCTGCAAATAGTGAGAGCTTGATTTCTTCCTTTCCTATCTGGATGCCTTTAATATCTTTTTCTTGAGTAACCGCTATTGCAAGTACTTTCAGTACTATATTGAACAGAAGGATAAGAGTGGGCATCCTTGTCTTGTCCCTGATCTTAGAGGGAAGGCTCTTAGTTTCTCCTCGTTGAGGCTATTGTTTGATGTAGACTTGTGGTAGATGGCTTTGACTATATTGAGGAAAGTTCCTTCAATACCCATGATTGCTATTTCTAATAGCAATTTCAGTGAACTTGAAATTACTTAGTGATTTTCAGACCCTTCCTTTTCCTACAGCTTTTAAGATTTTGCATCAACATTACATAAAATATTTAAAAAATTATTTTTCGTTTTTGTTTGTGGGCCATACCTGGCAGTCTTAGGGGTAAGTTACTCCTGGCTTTGCACTCAGAGGTCACTTGGCTTGGGGGACCTTATGGGCTATGCAGGTCAGCCATGTGTAAGGCCAGCTCCCTCTCTGTTCCACTATTGTTTCAGCCCAAGCATTGCACTTTCTAAAAACAGAAATATGAATGTATTTTACTTTTGGTGATTATCAATGTTGTGACATGTATTGTATTTGGAAAGCTCCTTTCCTCTTATACTTTATTTATTCATTTGCTTTTTGGGGCCACACTGGTGGTGCTCAGGGCTTATTTGTGGCTCTGTGTTCAGGGGTGAGTTACTCATGGAAGTGTCCAAGAACCATGGGCAGTGCCAGAAATCAAATCAGGGTGAGCTGCATGCAAAGGAAACTCCTTATACACGGTACCGCCTCACCAGCCCGTACTCTGATACTGACGTCACTTACTATAGATAGTTGCAGCTTAAGCTCATTTACTATAAATGCTGAGCCTTATCTTGGTAAGGATAGAAATTCAGTTAATGCTAATGAAGTTTTTTTCTTTTCTTTTATTCTTTTTTAAGTTTTTTTGTTTTGGGGGGGCCACGCCCAGTGGTACACTGTGGCTTCTCTGACTCTGTCTGGAACTCACACTCTATGGTGCTCAGGTTCTCACTTCATGCAAGGCAAGCGTCTTGAGGGAATTGTTAACCTGTGTAGTATTTCTTTTTTAACTATAAATTTTCTGCCCCACCTCCGTATATATGCCATATGATTTTAATGATCTCTAAAGTTCCATATTTAGATTTCTTACAGGTTATAGGAAGTTGAACTTAATTCACGTTTAGAAAACTTGGTTTAGGCAGATTGTTAGCTGAGAAGAGCAAAGTCCTGAGGGATAAAAGCTTTATCATTGCTTTTCACGGTCTTTATTTCAGTATTGCTCATCTTCTCTTTTCTATTGCTCTTGAAATTACTTTTAAATACAAAAAAATAGCTTTAGGCATTTTATTAACAATATATTATTTCATAGCTAAAGTGAACATAGGATATAACTTAAAAATTTTTTTAATAAACATTAAAAAATAAAAAAAAGAAAAAAAATTTTTTTCATTTGTCTCTTAGTGTGTTTTCAAAGTTTTCCACATAGAAGATTGATTTGCTATATTAGAACAGCTGTAAAATTTGGGAGGGTGAGCACTATTATCTATTATTGCTTTGATTATTTCTGATTTATCAGGGTTCTGTAGAATTTAGAATTATTGTAGTAAGACCTTAAATGTTTGTTTAGTGAATAAATGATTGAATAAGCACTGTCCTCCTATTGTTTATCGATTTGCTCAAGCAGGCACCAGTAACATCTCCATTGTGAGACTTGTTACTGTTTTTGGCATATTGAATACACTGCGGGGAGCTTGCCAGGCTTTGCCATGTGGGCAGGATACTCTCCGTAGCTTGCCGGGCTCTTCGAGAGTGGCAGAGGAATTGAACGTGGGTCGGCCGTGTGCAAGGCAAATGCTCTGCCCGCTGTGCTATTGCTCTAGTCCAAATGATTGAATACACTGAATGAAATTCAGGTCTGGTATATGTTTTTTAAAGATTTTTTATTTGATATATTTTTTGGAGGCCATAACCTGCAATGCTTGGGTTACTCCTGGCTCTTTGCTCAGGAATTACTCCTGGCAATGTTTGGGGGACCATGTGGGATGCCAGGGATTGAACCCAGGTCAGCCGTGTGCAAGGCAAGCTCTACCCACTGTACTATCATTCCGGCCCAATATTGTTTTATATTTGAAAGTAGGATTTAACTCTTGCCACATGATATAGATTAAAGTTTATTCTGTCAGGGTCTCCATCTTCACATAAATGACCTTTTCTGATTTCTAATTTCTAAGGTCAAGTCCAGCAGGGACCAAGCTTTGGCAGAACGGTGCCTTGCTGCCCTGACGGAATGTGCTGCCAGTGGAGATGGGAATATTCTGGCTCTTGCAGTGGATGCCGCACGTGCAAGGTGAGATATTTACCTTTGAAGATTCCCATGTACTCCAGGTTGACCCATTTAACTTTACTTAAATAAAATGGGGCCAGAGCAATAGTATAATGTGTTTGGATACTTGTGTACAGCTGACCTGGGTTTATCTCTAGCACTCCTATGGTCCCTCAAGCCCTGCCAGGAGTGATTCCTGAGCACAGAGCCAGGAGTAAGCCCTGAGCACAGCCAGACGTGGTCCTCCCAAATAAACCAGAAAAATAGATAAAAAATAGATAAAAATAAAACATAGTATGGGGCTGGAGTGATAGCACAGTGGTAGGGCGTTTGCCTTGCACACGGCCAGCCTGGCCGAGCCGGGTTCGATTCCTCCACCCCTCTCGGAGAGCCCGGCAAGCTACCGAGAGTATCTCGCCCGCACGGCAGAGCCTGGCAAGCTACCCGTGACGTATTCGATATGCCAAACACAGTAACAACAAGTCTCACAATGGAGATGTTACTGGGCCCGCTTGAGCAAATCGATGAACAAGGGGAGGACCGTGACCGTGACCGTGATAATATGAGTCTAAGACCCAAGAAGAGTAGGCACAAGGGCCAGGAGGACTTATCCACAGTTGGAAGATTGCTACAAGTGGTCGTGGGGAGGCTGGGATAGAGAAGGGACATGGCTATCATCATGATAGTTGAAAAGGATCACTCTAGAGAAGAAGTGAGTGTTGAAAGGAGGTAATGGTGGGGGGGGAGGGGAATGATAACCTTTGTACTGCAAAGCAGAATGCCCAAAAGGGGGGGGTGGGGAGAAAGAGGGAGAGGGAGAAGGAGAGGGAGAAGGGGGGAGGGAGGGGGCGAGAGAGGGGAGAGGGAGAGAGAAGAGAGAAGGGAGTGATGTTAGTGGGCATTAAACTGGGGACATTGGTGGTGGGAAATGTACACTGGTGAAGGGATGGGTGTTGGAACATTGTATGACTGAAATGCAATTATGAACAACCTTGTAACTATCTCACAATAATTCAATAAAAATAAATAAACAAGTAAATTGGTTAACTAAATCATGATCCTGTAAACTGTTGTGACCTAAAAGAAAATACTGAAATTCAAAGGAAATTTAATTTTTTCCCTCCTTTAAAATACTTTGAGTTTTTATGTACTTTCCTGTTGATCCAATATTTGAAGCTGTTGTAATAAAAAATTTTACTGGTTTGTAGGTTGAAGTTGATGTCCTTTCAAAGTATAGGGAGACATTATTTATTGAATTGGACTCTTAGCAAAACTGCCCATTGAGTCGCGCAGTGGTCTTCAGCCACCATGGATTGGTGTCCATCTGTAGCTGTAGGAAGTGCACTACCACAAGGCTTAAGAAATGTTTAAAGAAGCCTGGTGTAGATGCTGATAATATTTCTCTCTTCATGTATATTTATTACAGACTTCTTTAAAGAACTTAGAATAAAAAAAAATGCTTTGCCTCAGCAGACATGCAGGAAAAAAAAGCATAAGTTTTTTTTCCCCTAATAAATAATAATGTCACTGAATATTTTTTTTCTTTATTATTTCTTAGTATAATGGGCATTTTTTGTTTGTTTTTGGATCATGGCCAACTATGCTCAGGACTTACTCCTGGCTCTGTGCTCAGAAATCATTTCTAGTGGGGCTCGGGGAACCATTTGGGGTGCCGGAGATCGAACCCAGGTCAGCCTTGTGAAGGGCAAATGCCCTATCACTGTCATGGAATGATAGTATATGATCACTCAGGCCCTATAATGAAGTTTTTAAAACGTTCTTATATTTTAAGTGTTTAAGGTGTAATGAGTATGTGGATTTGTTTTTGAGTTATAATTTTATATATATATATATATTCAGTTTGATTTCTTTTTTTTAAAATTTTTATTAGTGAAACACCATGGGGTCCAGTTGTAGACTTATAAATTTTTGTCCTTGGGTTTCAATTGAGTTAAAATTTCTTAAGAGAGATTGTACGATTTTTTTTTTTTTTTGCTTCAAGTAATCCAATGGTCTTCCTTCCATTTTTAAAAAATGAAAATCTAGGATGAGAGGGATAGTATAGTGTTCAGGCACTTTGCCTTTTAATGCAGCTGACCCCAGTTCAATCCCAGGCACTGCCTGTGGTTTCCTGACACCCCCTGGGGGGGTGTCACAAAGCTAGGGATAGTAATATCACCCCCTAAAACAGTCAAACCTCCTTCTCCCCCAGTGAAAATAAAAAGAAAATCTTATCTTTCCATGGCTACCAGGACTGTTAGATGTGACTTTTGTCTGCCATACTTTTCTAGGCTGTGCGCCAATATCTTTTCTAGTTTCAGAACATAAAGTTGCTTATTTTTTATTCCTCAGAACCTTTGCGTTTACTGTTTCCTTTTTCAGACACTCCCTCCTGTGTTTGCTTGGATTTCTGCATCCCATCACTTTAGGTCTTTGTTCAAAAGTTGCATCTTTCTCTTTAATACCTTTCATGTAGCTTTGCAGAAGGCCTGAAAAATGACTTAGTGGCTTAAAGTGCTGCCCAAAAAACACAAGGTTATGAGTTCAAACACCGGTGTTGCCTTGGGCATTTCTGGCAGCTTTGCTGTTAGGGATCCCCAGTAAGAAAGAGCCCAGCTGCTGACTCAGTGTGCCAGGAAGTGTCCAGGGCAAGCATATGATCTGAGCTTAATCCCTGGTGCCAGGCCTAGACAGTCCCACCTACCTTGTGTTCTGGAGTCCCAGGTAGAGCAGAAAGCTTTCCCAGATACCCCTTTGTGTTTCACATATTTTGGTGTCCTCATTGTACTTAATGTAATTAATGTGCAGTTGTCTTATTTGCCTGTATATTGTTGTTTTATCCCCTAACTAGGTAAGTTATAGTAAGTACCTTGGGACAGGGGTCATATTTATTAGTTCATGTTTAGCTCTTATAATTTTCTTGTACACATACACTTAATGCATGTTGAACAACAAATGAAGTGCATGAAGTACGCTAGATGATTTATTACAAAAAGTTCCTAATTCCACTCTTTATTTAAATTAAGCGGATTACTCAATAACCTTAGATACTTCTCTAGTTACTCGTTGGATAATTTAGTCATATTTTTGTTTGATAAATGTTGATAAGAGCACTGCGTATAGAGAAGTATTCTGAGGAAAGATGTTATTGTGAGTAGGAAAAATATCCATTTGATTTTAATAGCGTAATCATATTTTAGTAATTAAATATGCCTACTTAGATTTATAGGTAAGCAAATATTCTTCCTTTAAATAATGATGTTGCCAGAACTTGTATTTAACTTTTTAGATGTACAGTTGGAGAAATCACAGATGCTATGAAGAAGGTGTTTGGTGAGCATAAAGCTAATGATCGTATGGTGAGTGGAGCCTATCGCCAAGAATTTGGAGAAAGCAAAGAGATAGCATTTGCTATCAACAGGTAGATAAAATATTTCTTACTCTAAAATTTTATGTTTTCTATTAACAGTCTCCACGAACCTGTGAGGGCTTTATTTCTTCATATACCACTGGAGTATTTTCCATGTGGAAATCATCACCTGTCCTGTAAATCTATAGTTTTATAAAAATAAATTTTGAACCTTCAACGTAGTTTTTCTTAGGAGTTTCTCATTTCAAACAACTTTTTTATTTGAAAAAAAATGAACTGGCACTGATACTACTTGATACCTTCTAGGTCCTTGGATTTTAAACTTTCATACAATATATTTATATATTTTAAGTTCTTGTACATTGTCAAATAATCATAAAGTTTTAGTATTCCTATTTGAAAGTAAATATTTCGTTGCTCTGTGCATTAATCAAAATTAGTAGTATTTACTGAATTAACGATAACAGTCATTTCCACAATGTGACTCGGAAATGTTTTCATGTTTCTTAAATATAAAAAATACTTATTGGGGTTGGGAGACAGTACTGGTCTTTTGAGCTTCACTGGATGCAGCCCTGGAGGGCTCTGGAGGTACCACCGGTGTGTGCTTGTGTGTGTGTGTGTGTGTGTGTGTGTGTGTGTGTGTGTGTGTGTGTGTCCGCAGTAGCCCCAATCATTGTGCCATAGTCATCCCTTGCATGCAGGAATCCTTGCATTGAACCGCTGGTTCAGCTGGTTCAGCTGACTGAGAATCAGTCACCTGGTAAATTTCAAAACAGCTGAGTTTTAAGTGATAATATGTGGACTATTTTTTTCTTTTAACAAATATGATTAAAGTACATTTTCATCTGGGTATACAGTTATTGACTTACACCATTAAAATGCTTTGATTATACATCCTTATCAGTTACTGCATTGTAGTCTGCCTGGGGAATGCTTTGGGCACAAAACATCTAGTAAGACCCACATATATAAATAATTCTGAAAAGTATTTTAGTTTAAATATTTCTATGTGTTGTATCCTGGAGAGTGGCCTAAACAGGTGACAAGTTGTCACTTTCGCATCTTGTTTCTGGGTAATGTTCTGTTTTATGGACTTATAGGAGGCTATCTTTTAAATTTCTCTAGCGGTAAACATAATTATTATATGGAATTCTCAGCGTAAAATAAAGATTGTAACAGATTATGAGAAAACAATATTTTTAAATAAATTTCAAAGATTTCCTGTGAATACAATTTTTTCATCTTGCCTTTGGATGATTAATATATAACTGTTCTTGTATTTTAAAATGTTGCTTAGGGTTCAGAAATTCATGGAACGTGAAGGTCGCAGACCTCGTCTTCTTGTGGCAAAAATGGGACAAGATGGACATGACAGAGGAGCAAAAGTTATTGCTACTGGATTTGCTGATCTTGGTTTTGATGTGGACATAGGTCCTCTTTTTCAGGTACTGAAAATTTTGGGGGAGTGATGTCAAAAAGTATGTTATACCTCACTTATATTTAGAAATAATAGTAAAATCATTCTGCATTAAGCTCATTTTTTTTAAATTAGTGAAACAGCATGAGGTACAGTTGTAGACTTACAGACTTTCGTGCTTGGGTTCAGTTATACAATGATCAACTACCCATCCCTTCACCAATGCCCATTCTTCACCACCACTGATCCCAGTAGTGGCCCCCCCCTCCGCCCCCAACCCCACCCCATCTCTGTGGCAGGGCATTCCCTTTTGCTCTCTCTTTCCTTTAGGGTGTTGTTGTTTGCAGGAGAGGTATTGAGTGGCCATCATGTTTGGTCTCTAGTCAACTTTCAGCACACATCTAGCAAATCCTGAGCAAATCCTCCAAACACCCTTTACTTGGTGCTCCCTTCTCTATCTGAGCTACCTTCTCCCCCAGCATGTGCTGCTGGCTTCCAAGCCATGTTGCAGAACCTCCTGGTACTTTATAAAGGTAAAGGTAAAGGCCCTCCCGTTGATCGTCGATTTGCTCGAGCGGGCCCAGTAACGTCTCCATTGGAGACTTTGTTGTTACTGTGTCTGGCATATCGAATACTCTCGGTAGCTTGCCGGGCTCTCCAAGAGGGGCGGAGGAATCGAACTCAGGTCGGCCATGTTGGCCGCTTGTAAAGCGAACGCCCTACCACTGTGCTATCGCTCCAGCCCTGGTACTTTATAAGGTCATATTTTTTATAAAAGAGAAACATGTTCAACAAGCTTTCTCATTTATTTCTGAATGGCTATCCAGTTATGACAGGGATAAGAATAAAACATAATTTATGTTAATATACTTGTTACTAAAGCTTCATTAGTTTTAGTTCAGAGCTGAAACTTTCAGTAATCTTTTGAAGCTTTGAAAATTTTTTTGAAAAATCGTTTTTGTTTATTGTATTATTTATTGAAATTTTATTTTAATGTGGGAAAGAAAACATCAGATTTGACTAATAGTGATAGCAAAGATTGTCCCCATCAGATTGATGAAAAGTGTTTTGAAAGGAAAATCAAACATCAGAGAGAACATAAATCTTAATTAAATTTTCTTCTCTTCTCTAATGTTATTTAATTGCAGGAAAACAAATAATATTTCCAGACAAGAAAATAATTTATTTGAAATAAATGAGGCTTGGAATTCTCTAGAGAGTAATAAAATATTCATTATTCACTTCAAAACAGTCCTCAGCTGAGAAGTGCATTCTAATAACTCATTAAAACTTTATTCATTATATTTAATTGACAGTCTCCCAGATAGTAAGATCTGAGTTGATGAAGAGGATTTTGGTCTCAGGCTCCTAACAGATTTACTTACCAATAATCACTTCAATTACTGTAATTGAAGTTTGGATAAGAAATGCATCTCACTATATTAAGCTGTGCCTTTCAGAAGTGGAAAATGGGCTGGAGTGATGGTGCAGCTGGTAGAGTCTCTTGCCTTGCTTGTGGCTGACCGGGTTTTGGTCCTTGGCATCCCATATGGCCCCCCAGTCTCTGCTGGGAGTGATCTCTGGCTGCAGAGCCAGGAGTAAACCTTGAGCCCTGGCAGGTATGGCCCATACAACAAAAACAAAAACGGAAGTGGAAAAATAAAAAGGGACGCGCATGCTGATAACAAAGGTCGGCTTGAGCAGAAGTATTAGAACTACAAGAGGGTTCGGTAATATCAGAATACAGTGCTTGGCACAAAGGTGTATGCTAATGAATAATCATAGAAGCCATTCCAAAGTATTTGGAATTTAGCCTCCAAGAGTTTAGTCGAATGAGGTAATCAAACTTAAGGTTCAAAAAGCTCCCTTTCTAATAGAATCACTTTCTGAAGTGAATTGAGAGGAATGTGGTAAAAATATCCCAATAATCTGGGGCTGCAGAGATAATACAGGGGTTTAGATACTTGCCTTTCATATGCCTGAGTCTAGTGCAATCCAGTAACTATGTATATGCTCCCAAGCACTGCCAGGAGTGATCCCACAACACAGTTATGGGTAAGCCTTAAGCATTGCTGGGTGTGGCCCAAACAACACCCACCTTCCTATCCCTCACCCCCACCCCCCCAAAATAAGATATCTGAGTAAAACAAGTGAAATGTTTTATTGAGGCAGTGTAGAAACAAAATGTCAATTAGCATTTGAAAGAAAAAGTTAATGAACGAGCTATTTAAGTATGTGTAAGCAGGAGTAAAAGAGCCTTCCTGGAGGGCCAGACTGTTTGCTCAAGTGGTGGAGCACAACCTAGCCTGTGTGAGATCCTGACTTTCACTGTATGGAACTCAGACTGATGGGTGTGGTCCCCATTGAAACAAAGAGCCATTAATTGATAGGTATCCAGGAATTGTATCTTGAGGAATGACAGAAGTCAATTGTTGAAGATTGCCATTAGCTTTACTAAATAAAGTTTAAAGCAAAGATGGCAAAGTACTTAAAAATAATCACTTTCAATTTTTATCTTTCTACATTTTTATATTCTGGTGACCGTTGGGCAAGACCACTAAATACAGAATCAGAGTATTTGAGCGCCCTTGAGTGCCACCAAGTGGTGCACAAAAGCAAAACAAAAAACTAAGCAAGAATTTCAAGAGACAGGAGTTAGCTTAATTACATACTGCAATTTAGCTAGAGAATAAAGAGTATTTACTTTTGACAGAAATCCAGTGAACCTTCTAGAGAAGTTTCATTCTTTTTATAATTTCCCATAAGAACTTTCCATTTTACATTTTATAAATATTTCTTCACAGAGTCTAGAAGAAATTGTTACTATAAAGAATTAGGACAAATTTGTGGAATATGTCTTTAAACTGTATGGGCAGGAAAATATGTACATTTGTTTAGAGAGTTTTAGGAATTTAAGATAGGTTTTGTTAAGGATTGCAAAGATATTTTTAGATAAAACAAATATACACATTTTGATTGATTTATTCTTACTCTAAGTTGACTGTTTTTCAGTTTTGTTCTTTACTTTCAATTCTGTTAATCTTTTCCTTTAGTTTGTTTTAAACAGTTGATTAAGCTAAGAAATTTCTAATACTTTGATTAGATTATTAGTAAATATAGATGGTACAGATGACAAACCATTCTTATTTCCTACCTCTAAGAAATCAATAGTGAGACTGAACTTTTCCTTTTCTTACTGGTTTGATTTCACGTGTTAATATTTTTTGTTGTTTCAAGGTCTTATATATTTCTAAGGAAACTCTTGAATGTGGTTCCTCTACTAAAAGTGTATAATCTTTTCATTGTTTCCAACATTATTTCATTATTTTCAAATTATAAGCTTTAAGATCCTGCCAAGTTCATTACATGTGGTACTTGGTACTTAGAATTTTGCATTGGTGTCTGGTAGCTTTGTCCTTCCCAAATATCTCAATTTTTAATTATTTTTATGTTGAAGAAATGGAGTATATTCATGTGGGAAGTTTTAATAAATTCTTGTGAATTATGAAAGTAATGGATATGATTTTGTGTCACTTAAAAATGTCTATGCTTAAAATGGATTGTCCTCTATCTTAAATTTTGTTAATAAATGAAGAACATATACTCTTCAACACTGTCTCTTCACTTATGTATTGATCTGGTTTCTGTGATCTCTTAATTTTCTGGAGTTCTAATAGTGTTATTTTGACTTTATATTGCTTTAATTCAGTATCTTCATGGGATAAATAGGTCCTGCAACATGCAAGTATGCCATCTAGTTAACATTATTCTTTCTAGTTAACATTATTCATCTAGTTGACATTTTGCATTTTAAAGTTTAAGTCACCATTTTCACATTGCCTTTAATCTTTCACTTCATAGCTTCTACAACTTGTTACTTTTTACTACTCTTAATAAATAGATGTCACATAATGAAGATGATGTAGGTTATGAAGACAATGGGTACAGTTAAGAATTATAGTAAAGAGATCATGGATTTAACTCTATCTTGCGCCTTTGAATTCTTTATCTTGAACACATTATGATAAAACTTTCATTAATGCCTTATAGTGCAAGAAGGAAACACAGCACTTTCATTTATTATATTAATTGGGTCAGTTAAATTTAAGATTTGAGGCTGGTAAAGTATGGAGTTATATTCTCTTAAAAGATTTTTAAAAAGGAAAAATTTTAAGGTAGTATGTTACTTAATACTCTAAGTAGTAGATACTTATAAAACCCTCTTTGGAATACCAGCTAATTTGTGTTTTTTCCATCTGATTGTTCAGACTCCCCGTGAAGTTGCCCAGCAAGCTGTGGATGCAGATGTACACGCAGTGGGTGTAAGCACATTAGCGGCTGGTCACAAGACGCTGGTTCCTGAGCTCATCAAAGAGCTCAGCTCCCTCGGACGGCCAGATATTCTTGTCATGTGTGGAGGGGTAATACCGCCGCAGGTATGTTTCGGTTCTTACTTTTTCTAGTACTGTCATAGGAATTCTGAGTGTATTTAGCTTATAGGTAGTTCTTTTGCTGAGTTAGTATCACTAAATTTGTGAGTTTACAATCAAATGAGTGATTTTACAAAGCAACTCTGTAAAAGTAGACAGTGTTGCTTTCTGTATTCCGTATCCATGATACATAGTTTAACAGTTTATAAACTTTCTATGAGAGAATTAGCTCTTTCTATTAGATCTTTAAGATCTTGCCAAGTTCATAACATGTGGTACTTGGTACTTAGAATTGTGCATTGGTGTCTGATAGCGTTGTCCTTCCCAAATATCTCAATTTATCAAATATCTCAATTCTGTGAGAGAATTAGCTCTCAAAATTACAGAGATTTGACTTTTTCACATTCAGTAAACTGTGAAGGAGAAGGAAAGGTTAAGTTAGTATGATAACTACAATAGAGAAAAATGATAAGTACACATGAATATATCAACTTCTGATCTAAGGTAGAGTGAAAAATCTTTGTTCTGCTAGGGGGCTGAATCCTTTAGTTAGCCAATTGAATTAGAACTCTATGAGATGATTCTGAAATAAAAATTCACTTATAGATCTTTCTTTTTTATTTATTTTTATGTCTTATTAATTCCCTGTGAGATACAGTAATAAAAATTTCCTGTTTGAACTTCGGTCATCATACACCCATCTCTTCAGCAGTACACATTTTCCACCACCAGATCCCCAGTATCCCCCATTCCATACCTCCCCCTGCCTCTGTGGTAGATAACTTGCAAAATATTCTTTCTTTCTCTACTTTAGTTACCTTCGATAATTTGAGACCAGTCCTAGCACCCTACATACCTGCCGAAAATGACAATTGCTAGACAATGTGTTTTGTATTGCTTGTTACGGATATAATCTAATGTTGCACAGCCACTCTTGTGGCCGCGAGCCCTAGGAGTTCTAAGATTTTAATAGGGTCTGAAGAAATCTCTGCCGCAAGTTGCTTGGGTCTGAGATTCATTTGTCTCTGGATCGTGGCCACGTGGGAGCTTAAGTAGACACATGGGCGGATGTGGCATCATCTCGATGTCCCATCGGGGTGGGGGGAAGGAGGGCCCACTCCCCCTGTGTCCTATAAGACTTGGGATTTACCGTCACCGCAGCTTTACCTGGTGCTTCTTGCTGGCTTCTAGAAAATGGCTACTGATGGAGCTCTTAAAGGGCAGGCGGAGGGACAACACCCGCCCCAGTCTGGAGCAGCCCAGTGGAGAAGGCCTGCTGCAAAGTTCTGAGCCATCTCTGCCGCAGGTTGCTTACGTCCAATATTAATTTTTGTGTCTCTGGATCATGGACATGTGGGAGCTTAAGACTTACAGATATTTCAGAGTAAAAAGCCATCAGAGAAGTGTGACCTTGTTTTCATGTCTACATTTTTTTCCTCCCCAGAAAATAAAATGATGGGTTTTTATGCTGCTTATTAACTGAGAAAATACATATGCATGAGGTTTGTAACATGAAACCAGCAAACAAATTAGCAGACAGTGTTTCTAACGGCAGAATATTAAAGTCATATAGTCATATAGTCAACACACAGAGTCATATAGTCAACACACAGCTTTCATGAATCTATTATTTTCATAATTTTAGCTTACTATTTGGGTATGTAAGTGGTTTTTTATTATAGATCTATAGAACACTTGTTTTAATTGTATTTTTAATTTATTTTTACCAAAGTTTTGGGATATAATAAATAAATAAACAGTAAAAAATAAACAGTAGAAAAATGTTGAAATTGAAATAGGAGTTGCAGAGATAGGTAGATCTCTCATATAAGTTATCTGGCATGTCTGGAAATACATTTTGCACAAGTTGTAGTAACTGCTTTAATTTTTAGAACATATATACATTTTGCCATCCATCCCCTCCCATGAATTTTAAAAAAGTAAGGATCATTCCTTCTAATAATACACTGTGTTAATATGGTTATATAGTAGTCAACTCAGCTCCTGTGCATTTTTCTCACATATTTACAATAAATTGGAAAAATGTTAGTATTACTTGGTTGAAAGTCACTTAAGTTAAAAATTAGAAATAAAACTTGTATACATATTCAGCACTCCATCCAAGTTAACAAAAGTCATCTCTCTTCAGCAGTATGTATTACTCCAACCGGATCTTTTTTTGTTTGTTTCTGAGTGCTGGGAATTAAATCCATACTTTATAGTTGAGCTTCATCCTTGGCCCAGTTAGGACCTTTTATCCCATTTACCAGCACTGCTTCCAAGTATCTTAGGTTGGGCTGATACACGCATGATGGCTTCTTCTATCATGAATAGTCAATGTGATGTATATGTTCAAGCTTGGTATATCATATTTTACAGAAATAGTTTTCACTTGAAAGTTATTGGATTACTGATAATATTTAAAAGATTTAAAAATACAAAGACAAATAGCTGTATACCCTTTTCTCAGATTAACGTTTTTCTAACATTTTACTCCTACATTAAAGTCATTGTATAAGATAGGTCAGGAATCCTTTTTCCAGTTGTAATATCTTATGGACCTTTCCCAATTGAGTTTTCCATCTCAGGTACGTAACTCAGATGTCAGAGGAAAATAGTTTGCAACACTGCTGGGATAAACAAAAGGAGATAACCATTTTGACTATCCCTGATTTGGAGATAATTATTACTACAAGGTTCATCAAATTTTCTTGTGAATTCTTAACATCTTTAGTATCTGCCCAAGAGCAGTGACATATTTTGAGCAGCTTTCCATACCAGGTGGAGAGGATGTGAAGATCAGATGTGATTGCTGCTCTTAGAATTCACAAACAAGGAAAAAGTTTTAAGGGGTGTTAAGTGCCATTGCAGAGTTGTGGTACTACAAAAATAGTACCAGGAAATGATAGAAAACTGTGTCTGAGAGACAGCACCATCAAATAATTTATCACCAATGTGAATACTTTTCTTTTTCTTTTTACACTAATATGTGATCACGCATGGCAGCACTAGCGGCCCGAGGCCACTCTTAGTCATGCTCAGAGGCCACCAGACCATGCCTGTAGTGCTCAGGGGATTGCTGGAAATGGAAGCCAAGGTCTCGTATACTCAGCAGGTGTGCTCTCCAACTTGAGCCACACTCCCCAGCCCCTGTGATCACCTTTAAAAATGAAAGTATCCTCCCAGGATGGGAGAAGCATGCTGAAAGTAGACTATAGGCCAAACATGATTACCACTCAACGCCTCTTTTGCAAACCACAACACCCAATAGGAGAGAGAGAACAAAAGGGAATGCCCTGCCACAGAGGCAGGGTGGAATGGGGAGACTGGGGGGTGGGAGGGATACTGGGATCCGTGGTGGTGGGAAATGGGCACTGGTGGAGGGATGGGTACTTGATCATTATATAATTGAAATCCAAGCACAAAAATTTGTAAGTCTACAACTGTACCTTATGTAGTGTTTTACTAATAAAAATTTTAAAAAATGAAAGTAAATGCTGTTAAAAGGGTACTATACTAACAACTGTAATATGTCATTACCCTAAATTTAGTTTAGTACATGAATATCAAGGCCTTAAAATATGTTCAGATTTTATATTGTAACCACAAACATTCTGATGTAAAAACAGCCAAAAGCCCAGAGCAGATTTTGAGCCTTGTGAAACTTTTCACTCAGATGTTGTATTTAAAATGAACCACAGTAGCAGCAAAGACACTGAAAAAGTAGTGAGCTAATCACTTTATGGAGTGGAACATCTATGAAAATAAGTTTTGTAAATGCTTGTTTTCACCGACTAAATTTTATCTTGATAATTATAAGTAAAATCTTAGGTGAGAAATAATTATGGTTTAGTGTTGGGAGGTTCTTAGCCAGTAGTGGATGATCTGATGTCCCACTCTGAACACAACACATTTGGTATTTGGAAAATGAACAGAGTATGTTTTTGTTCTTTTCATTTACATCTTAAGAGTGGTATTAATAGTGTCTATTAATCAAGGGTTCAAGTCAAGCGAGGATTTTTGTTTTTCATTTTGGGGCCATACCACACCCGGCGATACTTGGGTTACTCTTTGCTCTGCACTCAGGAATTACTCCTGCCGGTGCTTGAGAGATATTATGGGATGCTGGGGATCGAACGTGGGTTGGCAGCATGCAAGGCAAGCGCCTTGCCGGCTGTATTATCACTCTAGCCCCAGGGAAGGAATTTTTTTAGTCTCAGATGCCAGTTTTAGCCACTAGGAACAAAGAAGAAAGGGCAGTATTTGATTTTCATTTCTTTGAAATTAAAATATTGTGCTTCCTACTAATAAAACAAATTCTTTCAACAGGATTATGAATTTCTGTTTGAAGTTGGTGTTTCCAATGTATTTGGTCCTGGGACTCGAATTCCAAAGGCTGCCGTTCAAGTGCTTGATGATATAGAGAAGTGTTTGGAAAGGAAACAGCAATCTTTGTAACATCCTGGTTTTATTTTACCTTTCACAGTTATATATAGGAAGAGGGTAAAGCCAAACCATATCATCAGTTTAATTCAGCACCTTCTAAGTACTTCCCTGGAAGTTTTACATTAAAATATGTTACATTGAAGAATGTTATATTTTAAGTATATTATATATATATAGTTTTTCTTGAAAATTGTTGCTAAATTTTCACACTCAGTACTTCACCAGAAACTGTAGATGACAGTATTTTTTTTAAATAGTGATATTTATTAAAATATTTCTTTAGAATCCGTTCTATTATTATTATTAACTTAAACCTTACCTAAAAGTTGACCAGTTCTATTCATTGATTTGAGTGCTAAAAAATAAAGTAAAAATGTGAGTAAAATAATTGTTCTTGAAAAAACATTGGAGAATATTTATTTTCATAGGACAGTGCTACAGTGCTACAGGAAAATATGTGTGATTCTGTTCCTCAGTAAGCTCTATAAGAATTACCTTCATGAAAGTGCTATGTTTTCAGTAAGATCCACAAGTGAAAATTGGGAAAGGACAGGTTATCTCTTCAGATCTGACTTTACTCTTTGAAATGAACATGGCTACAGGTGTTAAACATTATTGCTAAACTTGATCCAGGAGAGTGAATATTTATGAACATTTTCTAAGATGGTTGTGAATATGACTTTCTTGAGAATTCTGCAATTAAAGAGTATCGAAGAATATTATATAGCAAGAGTTGAGCTTTGCAGAACCAGAAAGATGCTTCTCTTCATAGATAAAAATTAGTGTAGAACATTTCTGCTTTGCTCATAAAATTATTTGTTCATTGAGGAAGGAAAATTTTCTTTTTATTTTTAACATCCACTAGATAAAATGAATGTAAGGGATTCTTCTATAGTGACTTTGTGTTTTAGTAGGTCAAAAAATCTTTTAGAAGTTGCTATAATACACATTGTTATAGAATTTATAAACGTTAGCGTAACTAATCTTTATTAGAACTTGAGTATTTAAAAGGCATTAGGTAATGATTATTATTTTTGTTTTTCAGATTTAATCTGATTTCCAAGTCCAATGGTGTATTTACTATATTATTTTCTGTACCTTATGAAAAAAATCAATTCAGTAATGTTTGGTCTCTTGATATTTTCAGTATACTGAGTTATATAACTAATAAAATCATCTTTGAGGAATTGATGATTTTTGACATTCAATATCTTGAATAAACAATTTTTGGGAAAAAAAACCCTGTCTGCTCTCTGAGTCTATAAGAATTGTCTTCATTTGCCTCACTATTTGAAAACTTGTTTCCTAGAATTCTTTCCGGTGACATAACCCCTGGAAATTAAATGAAAATCAAGATCAAACTGAATTACCACTTTATACCTAGTAGAATGGCTATTATAAAAACAAAAATGAAAACATAGACTATCTATCTGTATTTTCTATCTTTATTTTCTGTCTATCTGTATTTTCTATACCTTTTTGTCTGTGTTTCAGTAAAATCAGTTCACTCTGAAGGTCCAAGAACCAGGGGACTGACTGTTAAGTAGGGAAAAAGCAGCCTGGAGAAAATGAGAATCCTCAGCTGAGGCAGTAAAGGAAAAGAAAGTAAAATCTTCCTTCCTCTTCTTTTTATTCTATTCAGACCCCCCTCAGAAATTAGATGATTCCCCATCTGCACTGGGGACCTGGTAACCCTCGATACTGCAGGCCCAAGAAGCACTCTGTGCCTGTTTCCTCACAATGAACTGCTGCCCAATGACCCAGAGTCACTGGGAGAGGTACTTAGGTCTCCTAAGTACTAGTGGGAGCCCCCTTGCCCAAAGAAATGAAATAAGCCCACAGAGATGGACATCTAATCTAAGGTACCATATCCAATATCACACAGTGACAATAAAAACATCTTCAGCAGTTGGTGGGAAAACTGGATATACCTATGTGAAAAATGAAACTAGACGATAGATCATCTTTACTCAATACACAAAAGTTAGCTCAGAATGAACTTGAGATTGAATACTAGACCTTATACTTCAAAATATACCCAAGAAAACAGGTGATAGATTTCAGGATGTCAACATCAGAGATATATTTGTAGATAACACAGCCCAGGAAACCAAACAATAAACAAATTTTCACACAGTAGAAGTTACTACAACAGAAATTCAAAAGGGAACCTAGAAATTGGGACAAGATACTTTAACATCATAAGTCTGACAAGGGGTTTAGGTATGTAGCACTGCACTGTCCTCCCATCATTCATTGATTTGCTCGAGCAGGCCCAGTAACATCTCCATTGTGAGACTTGTTACTGTGTTTGGCATATGGAATGCGCCACGGGGAGCTTTCCAGGCTCTGCCATGCAGGTGAGTTACTCTTGGTAGCTTGCCGGGCTCTCCGAGAGGGGTGGAGGATTTGAACCTGGCTCAGCCAGCCCGGCTGTGCGCAAGGCAAATGCCTTACCACTGTGCTATCCCTCCAGGGTTTAGGTATAAAAAAAGTATTGAAACAAAGTGAAATTAGAAAATCAGGGCCAGAGAATTTAGCAGCTAAGTCACTTGCAGCCGACCTAGGTTTCATCCTCAGCCCCGAGCACTGTCGGGAGTGATCCCTAAGTACAAACTAAAGAGTAAGTACTGAGCATTGTTGGGTATGCCCTCTCCTCTCAAAGAGAACTTTATAGAGACTCACATAGGGTTTTATCCAGGGAAATAATCTTACAAAATGTTTGATCACAACTAAAGAAAGATGCCTTTTAATGAGGACAAGACGAGATAAGGACGTATTAAAGCACTAATAAAGTAATAAATTAGAGGAATTACTTAGGTGCTGTCCAATGATGGCAGCCAAAGAGAGGGTACGATCTTATTTTGGAATATTGAATTGTTAGAATCTGACTTGATCCTTGAGTATTGCTGTTTGGAATCTGCTGTTTCACTGTTTTTGGTTTTGGTTCTTGGACCATTTTTGATGTGCAGTGATTTCCTGACTGGATACAATAGCATTATATCAAAATCAGGAACAGGAAAAACGATTGGATTTGTTTCCTAATCATCTTTTTCGGTCTTGAGTTTTGGGTGCACAATAGAATGATACTTTTAGGTTACTTTTAGAAACAAAATTATTTCTTTGCAATTGAATGAAATGTGTTTATTACATAAATGATATTTTAGCAGTATAAGAAGAGAAAGTATTTGGAGAGGCATCTTTTCTGAGAAAACCTGCATGGAAGTAGAGATAAAGTAATAAAACAATTTCTTCCTCTGTTTTTCATTTCAGAAAGTGGTGAGGCGTGGCAGTTAAACAGCTTTGGGCTCCCCTGTTGACAGATAATAGGCCCAAAGTCATCAGCACCTCCCACGTGTACCTTTAAATGTATATCTGCTTCAGGTGAATTAAAAAAATCTATTTTTTAAGAGATAGTGCAGAGATAGCTCAACAGGGCATTTGCCTTACATTCTCCTGTCCTGGGTACAATCCTCAGAGCCCCATATGGTCCCCTGAGCACAGAGCCAGAAGTAAACCCAAGGAGTGCCAAATGTGCCCCCCTTAAAAAAGTACAATAAAATCATTTATGTCTGCTGTTGTAGACTTTATTTTTTCAGGGATATTTGTATTTCAAACAAGAAAAAACATATCAAAGAGCACATGGATTGAGTTGTTACTGCTTGAAAAATGATGAAGATGATAATATTTCTATCATTCATCTGCAAAGTTTTGGCCATCTCTTAACTCTTAAACAGAGCTTGATTTTAGAAGTAGTTTAAAATTGAGAGACTTGATTATGTATGTTTAATATAAATATGTACACATAATTATTACTACGGTATATAATTTTTAATCTGAAAAATACTCTCAAGTACTTAAAGAAAATTAAGAAAATTCATTTGGTCCTCATAATAGTATTATTTTCTATTTCTTAGATCCTCCTTGCATTTCCTCCCCTACTTAGAGACGCCAGTAGGTGTCTCTCTAAGATCAGGATTATTCTATTTCCCAGCGCAGTTTTTGAAATGCCATCCAGCCTGTGACATATTCGATATGCTGAACACAGTAACAAGTCTCACAGTGTTACTGGGCCCGCTCAAGCAAATCGATGAACAATGGGAGGACAAGTGATAGTCAATATATTTTATATTTATATATAAACATAAACATTTATATTTCTATATAAAGATATAGAATATATTTATTTATAGAATAAATATTATATAAATATAAATGTATCTAAATATATATTGTCACTGTCACTTGTCCTCCCATTGTTCATCGATTTGCTCGAGCGGGCCCAGTAACGTCTCCATTGTGAGACTTTTTGTTACTGTGTTTAGCATATCGAATACGTCACGGGAAGCTTGCCAGGTTTTTCCGTGCAGGCGAGATACTCTCAGTAGCTTGTTGAGCTCTAGAAACTTTAATAATCTGCTCAGATGTACCTAATGACATCATTTTTTTGGTGATAGTTATCTGTGGTGAGTTAAGCTAAATGTTGATAACTATTCATGAGCTACGAGCATTTGTGCTGAAATTATTAGCGCATTAGCAGTTAAAACTAGCATATGACCTTGGATGTGAGATTATTATTGAAGTCTATTCAATAAATCTATATTTCCCACGGACTCATTTTAAGTTATTAATTTTTTTTTGGTTTGTTTCCTCCCTCTGTGTTCAAGCTTTTTATTCTACCATCTTCATGCACAATTCCTCATGAAATCAGGGCAGGGACTTTTCTGGTTTGATCTGGTGACGGGAGATACTTGTGGTGCAGTGCTCAAGACTGCTCCAAGGTTTTGTTTTTCTTTCTGTACCTGATTACTTTTATTAAAAAGACAACAGACAACAAATGTCAAGTGGGCCACGCATTCAAAAATATAGTTAATTACTCCCGACGTGATCAAAGCCCTAAATATAGCTTTAATAGCTTCATAGTTTTAGCTGCCCCCTTCCCCCTTGCTACGGGTGTCTAGCAGGAGTCTTTTTATTTTTAAATATTAAAAAAATTATTTTATTTTTTACTTTTTTGGTCATACCTGGCGATGCACAGGGGTTACTCTGTGCCCAGGAATTACTCCTGGCAGTGCTCAGGGACAAATATGAGATGCTGGGAATTGAACCCAGGTCAGCCACGTGGATGGCAAATGCCTTACCCACTGTGCTATCCCTCCAGCCCTTGGCAGGAATCTTAATGCTACAACTTGGAGGCACCTCTCCACCTCCACCCCTGCTCCACAGAGTCTGCCTGAATCTCCTGAACGCACAAACCAAGTAAATGAACTTAGTTCTGAATGCTCCCAGTTCTTCTTTAGCTTTTGTTCCAATCCTCTGAGTCAACTCCCCAGCCCCCAGGACATGATATTAAGGATATTTACACACATAAGCTCCACACCATGAATTTCCTCAAAGTTTTTTTTTAATAAAAATGCATAATTAAATTAACTATTTTCTTGAATCACCATGAGATATGCAGTTACAAAGCTGCTAATAGTCAGGTTTCAGGCATGCAAAGTTCCAACACCCATCCCTCCACCAGTGTATATATTTTTTTTTCAGGTTTAGGTCTCAGTCATGCAAATATCAAACACATTTCCCTTTACCAGTACTTATTTTTTACGACGAAGAACCCCAATAAAACCCCACCTCCCACCCCTCCCAATACCTGTGAGGCAGATGAATTCTAGTTAACACTCTATCTACTTTGACTAGATTCATTGTTTCGATAAAAGATGCACCATTATTATTTAGAGTTTACCCCCCCCCCCATCAGACATGCTGAAAAAGCGTTGTGAAATGATTTGCTTTCTACAGCTGGGTTCAAGAATTAAATGTTGTCGCGCGGCCACAATAGCGGCCGCATGGTTTTAGATTTCTACTATTTTACTTATTAACCGTGGAAGCATTTCTACTAAAAGTCAGATAATTAAGAGATTGGTTTCTGTGCTCTGGAGTCATGGCCGTGCCGGAGAGCCGCTCGTGGCGGGCAACTGGTGACCTCGGTAGGGCGTGAGGAACAGGCCGGAACGCCCCCCTTCCCATGAGGTTTTCATCGCCCCCACACCCCCGGCTCATACCTGCTCTCCACAAGGCTCCCATGCGGCCGCCATCCAGTGTATATTTCCCACCAGTTTTCCTTCAGCTCCCTCCCCCTCCCTCAGTCGGTCTCTACGGCAGGCACTTTTCTTCTTTCTCTCTCCTT